CACATTATATTAATGGAAAAAGAAAGGGTGAGCATCCTAAGAAACGATACCAGTTTATTAGTGACGAGGCATGGGAGAATTTTGTGAAGCAACGTGAAGACCCTGCATTTCAGGTTTGGTTTCTTCAAACTTAATTTTTAATCAGGTCATATTTTATTTAACTAAACTAATTTTGTCGATTTGGTTTCATTGTCATAGGCATTGAGTCAGAAGAACAAACAAATATCTGAGCAGAATGTATACCCACATACCATGTCTCGTGCAGGGTATGGTGGGTTGGAAAGAAGTATGATGGAGGAACGACTGAAGAATGCACAGATGGCTGCTGCTTCAGATCCTACTGGCTACATGCCATCTATTGAGCGTCCTTCTCGCCAAGAAAAATGGAAGGCGGCGAGGATTAAAAAGGGTCAATACATTACTCCACAGTCTGCTACTGTTGCTGAGAGGATTGTAAGTAATATTTAAGAATTATGCTTCATTAATTGTTTTTTTCAATTATCTTAAATTGAATTTGTTGTTTTAAATGATATAGGATACACTTGAGGAGCAATTATCTCAAGGTACATTCATCCCTCAAGGACGGATGGATATCTTGGCCACTGCTATTAGAAAGGCTGACCATCCCGGAAGAGTCCGAGGGGCCCCTAAAGGGATTGGTATTAAAGAATTTTTTGGCTCTGCTTCACGAAGAAGCACCAGATCATCCTCCGCTAACATGGTATCTAAAGAGGAGCTCGACCAACGACTACAAGAAGAAACAGAGAGAGTTCGAGCTGAACTAAGTCAACAACACATGGCAGAGATGCAAAAGATACGTGATGAATTCGATGCCAAGTTTCAACAGACTTTGATGATGATGGGTACGAGCGGATTCCAGATGCCCCGAGTATCTGAACCTTCCCAGGTAATAATCACACATCTTTTTAAATCTTCTAAAGATTCATTTGATCCATTTAAACTTATTTAATGTTTCTTAACTAATTTCATATTATGTTTCAGGTTCACCTGTGATAAAAAGCGGAAAGGGCAGTAATAATCAGACACAGCCACTGACAGTGTCTGACCCTGACCCTAGCCCTGACCCTGTCGAAGACAATGGGATGCCGTGTTCTCTCTATGTGGATTATGAAAATTCACCTGTTCATGTTGCTAGTGGTCGAGCATTCATGGGCACAACGATTCACGGCAACAAAATTCCGAGCAATCAAGCAAGGGTGACAGTAGAGAGGATTGTTCGTGGTCAGGGGGTACACCAGTGCCTAATCCTACTGATGAGGTTCGACTCTTGGCCCAAGCTAAAGGACATTTCATTTTGTGGCCAAAGAGACTTATTACAAAGCCAATGGTGAAGAAGGCGGCAGCAGAGAAGGCCACAACGAGCGCATCATCTGATCCTGTACTCTTGCCTCTTCCTAGTGATGTTGCGCTTATGTATTCCAGTTTGGAGGTTCTTCATTCCATGGTGCCAAACATGGATAAGCCTGTGACTTTCAAGATGCCGTTGGGGGTTGTGGGTTCAGATATAACATACGACTTCACCATTGACAAGAGGGACCTCGTTCAGTTCCTCAACTTTGAGGAGCTTGATATAGCCTTCATGCAGCTTGCTATTTTGTAAGTTACATATCATTTTCTTATTACATATTATATTTCATGCATGTCCTAATGTTTTTTACTTGAACAACAGGCATTTTAATCAAATCTGTCGAAACGGAGGACTTGAAAAAACATATGGCTTTATGTGTCCTCAAAGGGTGCAGAAAGAATTTAATACTGTGAAAGCAAGGTCAATCTACATTATGACCGCAATGAGTCAGACCAAAAAGCTAATATATTTTGCACCTTACGTGGAAGGGTAAGTGTATTATTGTATTTGAGATATACAAGTTGTATGTGTCGGGTTATAATTAACATGGTTTGCCTTTTGCAGTTATCATTGGACTCTAATTGTTTGTGCCCCTTTTGACAACAAAGTTTACTGGTTCGATTCACTCTGTGGAAGTCCATCCGAAGAAACCAAAGATGTCATCGACACGTTAGTTTTTATTTATATATTTATTACTTGTGAAGTTTATACAAGCATGCTCTAATATCATTTTCTCTTATAATGTTGATAGGGCTTTTCATACTTTTAATGTCGTGGTGATTAAACAAAATAGACAAGCACCAACATGGATTCTTCCACAGGTATATGTTGTTTTGAACTAACTTTTAAACATTTTTGGATGAATTAAAGTTAATGTTTATAATCAATAATGTCTAATATTCAATTTTATATCTTATTTTTTTAGTACCGTTGTCAACAAGGACATGTTGAGTGTGGATATTATGTCATCCGCTACATGAATGACATAATTGAGACAGGAACGACTGAGAAATTAGACGAGGTAAAGATGAGTTACATTGCATGACGTTCTTCAATTTATTTCACATTTTTGACTAAGTTTACTATGTTATTTTTGATTAACAGATATTTCAAAATACTGCGTCATATCTCATGGATGACATCAACTTGATGAGGGACACTTTGTCAACAACATTGGTAGAAAAAATTGAAATTTAGCTTTCAAATAGATAGGTTATTTCTCAAAAAATTCATTGTTAGATGCTTTCTCTCGGTTCCCTCTTATATTGTTCATGATTTCCATTGTACAGAGAAGTAGTTACTTCTATTTCAGAATTGTTGGACCTAGCCAATACGTGTTCCTTGGTAACCACTTAGTTCTATTATATTGGCCGGTTTCCCTATTTTCGAATTGTGTAAAAAAAAATTCATTGCTGTATATTAACTAGCTAATTGATCTTGTTCTGCGTGATCTGCACTGCCTACATTTGTTTGGAGCTGTAAACTGCAGGGTGGTAAACACGAAAATAAAGCAGAATTTAAAAAAAAAAACATTTTTAACGGCGGTTATACATATAACCGCCGTTAAAACCCTTTTCCACGGCGTTTTATTTATAAACCGCCGTGGAAAGTAAAATTTCCACGGCGGTTAAATATAAAACCGCCGTGGAAAAGCGGACTTTCCACGGCGGTTAAATATAAAACCGCCGTGGAAAGTCCACTTTTCACGGCGGTTAAAAACCGCCGTGTTTTCCTTACCTTTCAACGTCGCCTTTAACAACTACGCCTTCAAAACCGCCGTTAAAAGCCACTTTTAACCGCCGTTAAAAGCCTTTTTTCTGGTAGTGATGATATGTGGATCTATCATTCAATATGTACACACCTTATTGACCAAAAAAAAAAAATCATCTACACGCTTTGTATGTAACAATTAGAAAAATTAATTGAATTGTTAGACCAGTCATATTGTTTTGATCGTGCATGTTTTTTTTTTTGGCCAAAAGATCGTGCATGTTTTGAATAAGAGTATTTTGATGAATTAGGAAATCACTACAAAAGTAAATATAAAAAATGAGTGTGAATGATCAATGCTACTGCAGCTTGGGTAATGTTGCGGCAGACAAGTCTCAGATCTCCGCTTATAATTTGGGAATGGAAAATATAATTGCTTCTCTACTTTATCATCATTCTGCCTGTTTGATGAGGCAATTTTGTGGGAGATAAAGGAGCTTATCGGTGTAACAGGTCAGTTTGTAAATTTGAGAGGTGTTTGTCCTAACTTTTAACTAATCTGATTTATGAGTCAAAAACTGTTTTTTTAAGTACGATTGTAAAAACACCTAAAACTTACTTACAACTTATGCAAAAGTAGTTTTCAAAATTAAAAGACATATTTGTCTTTATATTTATGCTGTTTTATGCTTCTATTTATATATTCTTTATGCTTTATAATCAGTTTTTAGTTATTTATTTTTAATTCTTTTTAAGTGAAAATAACTTTTAATAGTTTTTATAATATTTTTAATTTTTAATATTATTTTTATTTTATATTTATATAAGTTATGCAGAGTATATCATCTAATTAATTATATAATATTATTTGGTTCAAAAAATTTCACACTATTATAATTTCCTATTTAAGTATATTTTATTCATTAAATATAAATTTTTGCTATTATAATAGTTTAAAATTATTATATTTTTTACATTCATAATTTTAATGCTTTTTTTATTATTTAATGAAATTTATATCCATTTCGGTCATTCTATGAAAGAAACTTATTTATTCAATCATAATTCAAACAACTTTTTTATTTTACAAATTAATTTTTATAAAAATCAATCTAAACACAAATTACATTACCGAATTTAATTTTTATGCAATCTCATTTTTTTAATTGTCAGGTTGTAAATAAATTATCTTTTATAGCGTTAATTTAAACAGACCCATTAGACCCATTTCAGAAACGTCCTCTTCGGGGAGCCAGTATGAAAGAATTATTTCCGGCCCGTTCTTTCAGGGTGACGAGTTCATCAATTCCCCAACCTTGAATGTTTAGTTCGAGCATATTTAAGTTTTGGGTCTCTTATCTCAAAACATGGAGCTGCATTTTTTTAAAAAATATTTTCGTTATGTTTTGTTCAACAGTTTCTTTGTTTTTTTTTTTTAACTAAAGCATAGACATCCTCCTATTCAAGACAATCCTATTCAAAACACTATTATATATAATGTGTGCCAACTTTTTCGCTGGGTTGTTTGGACTCTATTCAAATGGACCATATGCTTTTTAAATGTAATTGTTGTATTGGATTTTGAATAAAATTGACTTATAATAAACAAAAAAGAAGAAGAAAGCCTCCATCTTTATTTTTTTTATTACTTTATAATTCTATGTTTAAACTTTAAATTATATAATTATGATTATGGTATAAAACTAATTAATTTCATAATTTAAGCTCATTTAATTCACCTAACTTTAAAAACTAAAAATTCTCTTGCAACTAATTATGATGTGCTATTTTAAATTCGGAAAAAAATACACTTTGATAGAATTTCGATTTTCATTTTTACAGTTTCAAATCATAATTTTTTGTATCCATAATTTTATAAAGATTTGAACATAGTAATGAGTTTTGATTATGAATAATAAAATAGATAAAAAAAAAGGGGATTATAATATTAAAATCCAACATACCATATTTTACATGCTTATTTTGTTTGGACAGCAAGCACATTATTAGATATATTTTGAAATACACTTAATATGAAGCCTTCAGACAACTCCAATGCAAGGAACGAGAGTCTTGACTTTTCTTCAGGCTTTAGAGCACACTTCCTTCCCCATCACAAACCCGCCCCTCTTGCTTGTTCTCTTCTTTAGGTTTCTCTTCTTCCAAAGCACATTTTGGATGCAGATCAAAGTCACACTGGTCACAACAGTATGACCATGCGTGACCCTCCTCGTTGCAACCATCACAAATATAAATCCCCCGGCGAGTCAACACAAGTTCATGCTCATGAGACTTCTGTGCCACCTTCTCAGGCCACCCCTTTGGCATCTCCTCAGATGTAGCCTCAAGTTCTTTCACCCTTTCCTCAGTGAAAGGATAAGCTTCAGCACCATAAAGCGCAACAAGATTTCTAGCATCTTTCGTCAGGATCTGGCCGCCGGGTCCGATTGCCACCAACATGGGGATGCCTTGCGCCTTGAATTTGCGGCTCAGGAATGACTTCCTGGAGTCACCAAAGGGAAGAGCCAGCCATGGCATTCCAGCAAAGAAGTCATTGAACGAGGCTAGGTCTCTGTCACTGGAGATGAAGACGACTTCAACAGCACTGTCCTGCTTGGCCTTGATCTTGTGATATGATTCAATAAGCTTTGGTAGAAATGCACGACATGGTGGGCACCAGTGAGCTGAGAAGTACAGCAGTATGGTCTTCCCCACTAAATCTGACACTGGAATCTGAAAAAGAAGGAAAAGGACTGTCATTATCACAGAATGGTGACAGCAGAGGGATAAGGGAGAAGCAGCAAAATTGTAGCATGGTTCAGATGAAAATCAGTTCCAAGTGTCGTGGTCTACTTAAAATTTTCCCCTTCTGGAATGGCAAAACATAGTGAATCCTTTATTAGGAGAATAAACTAAAACTTCAAAGATATAACTTCTCATAGTTATTTCTATTCCAAGTGATATCAAAACATACGTGTACCTTGCAAGCAAGAATCTTAAATGCTTTAAGACAGCCAAGACATGAGGACGAAGATGAGCAATTACAAGATATTCAACATATCTAAGAAGCAACGGAGAAAAACAAGAGGTTCAATTATTTCCAAGAATCACACCTTGATTCCATCTTTCCCTATGAGAAAATCTAGATCCCCAGAAATCAGAATAGACTCAAGTGTTTGAGCTGCCTCTTTGGCCTTCTCTATCTCAGAGAGCTCTGCAAACTTTTCAGGAGTAAAAGGGTATGCAGCAGCCCCGTGCTTTTCAATGGCATCAGCCACATTGGAATGAAGGGTTTTTCCATCTGGTCCGATAACAACCAAAGCGGGAAAGTTCGATAGCTCGAAGTGACGAGCAAGCTTCTCACAGCTCTTGTCATTGAATGGCAATGCCAACAGGGGCAGACTTTTCAGTCCCTGTTTGAATGATTCTTCATCATCACGGACGGATATGAACACAATCTCAAAGTCCTCCCCCTTTCCTTTCAGCTTCTCATAAACCTCCACAACCTTTGGGGTAAGCTCGGCAAATGCTCTGAATGAAAAAGATGAGAAATACAGACCTACTGTCTTCCCTTCAAGTTGAGACACAGGTACCTGCAAGTAAATGGAAGGTAGAATTCAAACTCTATATATCCCACACGTGTCCAAAATTAATATAGGATTTACACGAAAAGGGAAACATTCTAAATATATATTTCGATGATTAGCTTCAGCCTTTAATTTCAAAAAACAGAAACTTACTTGCTTTCCATCAGAAGATATAACATAGTCACGTGACTTGAAGACCAAAAGAGACCTCAAGGACTGGTTCCTCTTGCCTTCCTCTTCTTGGTCTTTCAACTCTTTGATCTTTTCTAGCGTGAAAGGGTATGCTTCAGCTCCGCATTCACTTACAATTTCTGTTCCATTCTCCGTTGCCACTTTCCCATTCTCATCAAGGATCACAAGGAGCGGAATCCTCCGCATCTTGAACAATCCATTGAGGTGATTGCGTGTGTCGGAATCAGAAAATGGGATGGCAAGCCATGGCATCTTGGAAAAGTAACCTTTGAAGGCATCTTCGTCTTTATCAATTGACAAAAAGACTATCTCGAAATCACCTTTGGCAGAGACTTGATTGTACAACTCCACCAAAGTAGGGGTGAATCGTCTGCAGGGACCGCACCAAGATGCTGAAAAATATAAGCCAACTTTCTTCCCCTTCAAGCTCTCAATTTTGACCTGAAAAAACAAAGACTTCTTCGATACTCCATGAATGCGAGCATAATCATGTAAAATAACACCTATGAGCTACCATTCAGAATGAAACATTATATCTGTAAGCAGAGTTTTACCAGAGTTGACACTGAAAAAATCATTTCGCATATTATTTGTTTGATTTAACAGCCAGAGTATTGCATGGTCAAGAACTCTCAAGAGCAAGCTGGTCTATCACAATTCACATGTTTCGAAACTAAAAGAAATTCGTGAATCAAACATGGTTGGAGATACAGAAAGACAGTGATCGAATCTTACGCGAGGAAAGTATAGGCCGGAAAATAGAAAATTATATACCCTGGTCAATCAGAAGACTAGAAATCTAGTGTGAAAGCCGTTGATCAAAATTTCAGATATTACTGGAGTCTTGTTGACCTGTGATAGGTTAGTGAAGAAGCACAAACTTCGAGTTTTCCAAAGTCTTGTTGATCTATGAAAAGCACAGATTGCTTCAATTGATTAAAATCAGAGAACCACATAAGTACCTGATCGCCGTTGTTCCGAACCAGATAGTTTCTCTCCGAAGAAGAGAGTATAGATTGAATATCGTGGGCGACATTATCAACGCAAGCCATTTTTCTCACTTCGAAACCTCAGACCTTACAGCACCGGATTGGAAGTAACATTGGAGAAGGAGATTCGCACACAATGGCGCTATTTAAAGGGAAAAATAATCTGAGTACAAAAATGAGGCACCCTGTTCGGCATTTGTCGAATAAAGAAGGAGAGAAATTCTCCTTTCTTTCTTGTTTTCTTCATCACTCTTGGATTTCTGAATCGTTCGAGTCTTCAAGTTGATTTCCTTGGCGACTAAGTAAGTAGTTAGGCATTTTGTCTGGTCCAAGAAAATAATTAAGCATTTCTCTCTTCACATATTTTGAAAGTTTAGTAGGATTAAGGAAGGATTTGATATTATGTTTTCATGATTAATTGATAAATACTCTGTTTGGAATGACTTATGAATAACTTTTTAATCGAGATTTATGAAATACGAAGTAAGTATGTAAGAAAAGTTGTCTTAGTTTGTATGAAATGTGCTTATAAGTTATTCTAAATATGATTCCAAATGAGCCTTAAACTCATTTGAGATTGTGATTGAATCCTTTAAAATGACTTTTCAATTATAATTTATAAAATACAAAATAAGAAAAAAAATTTTATCTCAACTTATGTAAAAATACTCATAAAAACTTATCAGAAGCATTTACAAACAACTTCTATGGCTTCTAACTCAACTTATACCAAGCATTTTGGGTAAGATACTTTAAAATATAAAATTGTGTAAGTTTGAATTATGCATTTAGCATCAAAGGAAATAACATCCTTTTCAGTCTACCAAGGAAATTTTGTCAATAAATTTTATTACGTAAAAGATGTTTTTTATAACCTCCTATAGTCATATATATATTTGTCAAAATAGTAGGTGAACATGTCATTTCACTAATGCTTACTCGTCAATTTACTCAAAAGAACTTGTCAACAAGCTGCAATATGTAAAATGTGAGTCTTAGTAACTGAAAATACAAAATATAAAATTAAACTTATCATTTTTAATAACATTGACTTATCTCAACTCACTAGAGAATACTTATGAACAAGGTTCAATATAAAAAAAAAAATACCAGTCTTTAAAATAAAGTGATAGGTACACCCATTAAAACGACAAGCTTAAAGTTATAACAGGCACAGGGTGAAATTTTTTAATTAATAAAAAGCATTTTGATAATTGAGTATAAAAACATAATGTCAAATAAGTCTCAGTCTTGCAGTGAAATTTAAAAAAAAAAAAGATTTAAGTTGTAAATATGTTTCTTAGTGTTTTTTTCAATTGAAATTCTTCCTAGCTAAATACAGCAATGAGGATGACAGCTATTGGCGCCAATGTTTCGTCCTCTAGAATCTGCTGGCTGACAAGCTAGATGAAATAACACCGTTTCAGTTTGACCCGACAGTGCCCCTTCATATGTTATTGGGAAAATTCTAATAGGATCTAATGGAAGAGAAAATATAGCCAAAAAGTCCCCGGAAACTTAGCAATTGCTTAGAAGTCACGATATGAGACTTGATTGCAATAATGAAAAAGGTGAATAAACCCATTTGTCCCTAGTAATGCATATAGAAAAACGATGAAGAGAAAGAGGGAGAACTGATTTCCTGCATCTTTGAGCTCCTAAGCATGAGAAAGAAGAGATTGACAACAAATGAATCAAAGTCCAAGCGCCTTTTGTTTTCATCGTCTTGGCCGATTTGGAGGATTGAAACTTCCTTTTCTCTCCTTTCCAAAGAGATTTTGGTTGACAGATTGAGTTTGGGTATGGTTATATAAAAAATCATTCTGCCATTTAATTGTTGCAAAGCTTTTGTTTTTGGTCCACTACAAACAAATTAAGCAATGCAAAGCTTGTGTCTTTGATTTAGCGTGTATTAGTAATTTAAGTTGGGGTTTAATTATGAATGGGTAGGATAATAATGAGTGCTCTGTTTTTTGATATATTATGGGTGGGTTCATAGTGGGTTTGTTCTTTTGAGCATGATTGAGTAGGAATGAATGAAAAGGATGAAGGTTGGTGCGGATAGAAACTTTTATTACAAAATAGGAAAATATATTGTCAATGTAAGCTGCGATAATTACCAATATTACTGTTTGACTTGTTAATGACAATTGTCATGCAGCTTTTTAAGGACCAATAGGAGAAAATCTCAGTTTCAAAACAAAAAGGTTTATTATTGCAGGAGATACGATGAGGTTGGACAAATTGCTAAGATATGCAAGAACTCAAATCCTAGCTATGAACATGTTGTGGAAACCTTTTTTTTTTAAATAGATGTGGAGAGAATTTTTTGCAAACAGGACGTACCCACCAACTATTAGTTCAATATTAGATACATGTCCATGTGTTTTTTTTTTTGGCTAGATTATGAAATTAGTGTAATTACATGCATGTGAAGCTATGGAATGATAGTTCGCTATAAAATAGTATATTAAATTTTGATATGTAATTAGTTGTAATTATTTGTATTCTTTATTGTCAATAAATCTTTCATCACTTGTTACTCTTGGCAATATCACTTATCAATTTATTTATTGATATAAGTTTAAAAAAAGTTATTCAACGTTACATAATATCATATAATGTGCTAATATCTTGTGGACTAATGCTTTATTTTTTTGGTAAATGGACTAATACATTTTGATGACACTATGATATACTATCATTATTAAAAGCCAGTTATCACTAATATGAAATTATAAAACCCCTTGTTATTAAATGCATTTTCACTTGTCATTGGTGATAATGTAACTTGTTAGTGGTTGTACTATCATTTATCAATTTATCTATTGACATAAATTTAGAGAACTATGATTGCAAGTTAAATAATGCCATATAATGTAATATGATATCATCAAATTCTCTGCACTAATACATCCTGATTATAATGTGATTTGAAATTACTATTATTATTAACACACTTATTATCACTGATATAAAATTATAAAATCACTCATCATCAACCACATGTTCACTTGTTAATGGTTGTAATGTGACTCATCAATAGTAGCATTATCACTTGTCAATTTATTTGTTAGTATAAGATTAGTTATAATGCGATCTAAAATCATTATTAACAGTTATTATCACTAATATGAATTTAGAAAATTACTTGTCATCAGTTACACCTTCACTTGGTGGCATTGTCTTTTATCAATCTATATGCTCATATGAATCTTTAAGTTTTGACAAAATATCATTTAATTAAAATAAATTTCAATAATACATTCCGATTATAATTTGTCATGATATGACATAATATTTTTACTTTAAATCAAATATAACTGTATTGCAAATTTTAAATAAACAACACTGTTAGTTGCCAATGTTCCATGTATCACTTGTTAATATCTACACTGTGACTTGTTAATAAGGGTATTATAACCTCTTAAATTTTTTGTAGATAAATGTCATTTTCAAAATTATTCTCTATTTTTTTCCTTTGAATAACTAAACAACATAAAAATAAGGCATATATTAATATAATACAATAAAATAATACCAAATGTATTTTCAATCTGAGCTTGCTTTTTTCAAGAGCTTACTTCTAGTTGTATCATTATAACTCATTATGAGTTAGAGTTATATTCTAAAGAATAAAAGAATAACATCTCAAAGTAAGATGAGTTGTCACTTTAAATAACTTTATATGACATTATGTAATTTTAAATCATTTTTTTCAAATTTATATCAACTGACAAATTGGCATGTGATATTACCATGAGTAACAAGTGATGAAGGTTTATTGACAATGAAAAGTGCAAATAATTACAATTAATTACACATCATAATACAACATAATATTTCATGGCCCACTGTCATTCCATAGCTTGATATACATGTAATTACATTAATTTCACAACCCATCCCAAAAAAACATATGGGTTACATGTATCTAATACCGAACTAACTATTGGTGGGTACTATCTTGTCTACAAAAAAATTTCTTTACTTCCATTTACAAATAATAGGTTTTCATGACATTTCTCCGCTAAGATTTAGGCTTTTTCATGTCTTAACAGTATGTCCAACCTCTTTGCATCTCCCACAATAATAAATCTTCTTGTTTTGGTAGTAAGATTCCCTCTTGTTAGTCCTTGAAAACCTACATGACAGTTGTCATTAGTAACTCAAGCAGCAATATTACACTCTCCTATTTCGCAGTAATGATTTCTATCCACATCAACCTTCATCTTTTTCATCCATTTCTACTAAACCATGCCTAAATAAAGCAAAAACTACAAACCCACTTATAATATACTAAAAAACAGAGCACTCATCATCATCTTGTCCACTCATAATGAAAATTGAAACCCCAACCTAAATCATCAATACATGCCAAATTAGAGACACAAGCTTTGCATTGCTTAATTTGTTCATAATGGACCAAAAACAAAAGCTTTGCAATAGTTAAATGGCAATGTAGTTTTCTGCATATTTATACCCAAACCAAATTTGTCGGCCAAAATCTTTTTGGAGAGAAGAGGAAAGAAAGTTTTGAACCTCGAAATTGGTCAGGGCAATAGAGACAGAAGACGCTTGGACTTGGTTCCTTTGTTATCAATCTCTTCTTTCTCATGCTTACGAGCTCAAACATGTAGGAATAAGTCTTCCCTCTTTCGCTTCATCATTCTTCCTGTTTGCATTACCAGGGGCAAATGGGTCTATTCACATTTTTCCAGGGACTTTTTTTGTTGTATTTTCTTTTCCATGAGATCCCAATGCAATTTTTCCTTTGAATTTTTTTTTTATTAAATATCAGCCTGACAGTATAAAGAAAAGTAATGTAATCCTAAAGATTAAAAAAATAATGTTGAATGATAATATTTTTAACAAAAAAACAATATTACTATTTTTTAAATATTTTTGGATTGATATTAAATAAAAATTTTCAAATACTTACAGTTTCTTTGCGAATATTGTTAGGATAAAAATGATCCTTAATCCCGAAAATTGCCAACCACAAGACTTTCGCCACTTTTTCGTTTCATCATTCTAGCTTTTCTTGCAAAGAAAAGAAAATTGTTAATTTCACAAGTACTTTCTAATGGGTTAATGTTGATCCAACACTTCCAGATATTTTTGTCAGTGCATCTTATATCTAAAATATTTGTGTTATAAGTTTGTCTTTAAAGTATTTCAATGTTCAAAAAAATCGGACCAAACCGGCCAGTTTAGATCAGAAACTAGTGAATTGGCTAGTGGTCCAGTCTGGTTTAGCAACAAAACCAGAGGTAGATCGAATCGGAATGAATTGGATTAAACCGTTGCAAACCGGCCACAACGCGGTTAACCCATCGACTGAAGTGAGTTATCCAATTACAACTTTTTTCAGATTTGGATGATTCTTTTGGGGAAAAAAAAGAAAGAAAGAATGGAAGGTAGAAAAGAAACTCCATGACTCACTGGATTGCTTTTTCCTGTCAGTCTTCCTCTTTCAAGAACCCACTCATCTGCGTCAAACTCATTTGAGTGCTATCGTGATCTCAATCATCCTCCTCTAAAATTTAACTCGTGCTGCTTATGGAAGTTCAGGCGGAAGAGAAGAGAGAAGAAAGAGATCCACGCAAAGAAGAAGAGAGGAAGGAGTGAGAGAAGAAAGAGTGAAAAAGTAGCGTGCTACTGTCATATTCATGTCATATGAATTGATGGTACCTTACGTGAAGGTGCAGGTGGGGATGAGCATGAGGAAGACTGGGCAGGGTAGAACCCCTGCCTCATGCCAGCTCAACGGATGAGATAGCTGCATCTTCCTAACCCTGCCTAGTAGAAGTCCTAGTTATTTTGGATTAGGCTAATGCGGGTTGAGCAGGGTGGGCTTCTCTTGTCCAAATTTACCATTTGAGTCATGAAGTTTAAAATATTACCATATGTCCTAACAAATATCTATATTTTAACAATTTAACAATATCTATAATTTATTAGAAACAAGACAATAAAAAATTATAATTAAAGCCTTAAGGTTCAAATGATTTGTATCAATCTCCACAAAGTTGAGAAAATAACGAAACATTAAAAAAAAATATAAGCTATATTAACATATTCAATTATATTATTAACTTATAGTTTAATATAATTTATAGAGATCTATATATTACATTCAAATTGTTATAATTAGTATCATTTCATGATATATAAAGTAATATCAACATGAAAAAGTTAAAAACAATTATAGTACACAGCAAGATAATTTAGAAAAGTTAAACAAGGTGGTATACTTAAAAAAAACTAGAACTTTAAAAATATAAAGTCTAATAATATAAGGGAGTAATATTCCTTTTGGGTATTGAAGTATAATAAAATATAGTACATTAATATTACACTGTATATATATAATAATTTTGAAAAAATATATACTATAATATAAATAATTATATATATTTCGGGCAAGACCAAATGGGTAGGGCTACATGCTGTGCCCGTGGCCCTGCCCTACCTGTGATTAGCCCGACCCGAAAATGCCCTCTCTTTTTTTTTTCGGGCTGTGTTTTTTTGGGCTAGGCAGGACATTTTTTAGCAGGCTTAGGCAGGCACAGCAGGCTATTGGGCCTCATGAACGCCCCTAGGTGCAGGGATGAGGAGAGAGGTTGAGAAGTAAAAGTAATATTTGAAAAATATAGAAAAAAATTTTAATGAGTTATGCGAAGGGGTAGGATAAAAAAATAAAAAGGGAAGAAATTAATTAAATATATATAGACACTTGTGATGAGATATCCATTTAAAGATGAAATATTATTTTTTTTCATAATTAAAATATGAATAAATTTACATATTTTAATTAAATTATATTATTTTAATTATTATCGGTTTGACTTTGGTCTGACTCCGATCTAACCCACTAACTCTTGAACCATTCCAAGCGGTTCACTGACCAGGTTTTTTGAACCTTAGTATTTTGTTAAAAGCAATTTTTCTCTTAAAGTATTTTTTTTAGTAACAATTCTAATCTTATTGTTAACTTCACAAAAACTCCGTTAACTGAATGTGTATCTAGTATCTCAAAATATATTTACAATAAATCTCAACATCCTAAAGTAAATTTTTTTGTGTAATTTTGTTCTTAGTGTATTTTCTAAGTTAATTTTTTATCACCCTTTTTTATATTTTCAGTACTCATCTATCATATTTCTCATATTTTTAGTATTTATCTTTAACATTTTTAATAATTATTTTTTTAATTGTTCCACTAGTCATCTTAAATATGGAAATATGGAAGATGAATCCTAAAAATATGAAGAAAAAAAAAAGAGTGACAAAAAATTAACTGAAAAAATATTTTAAGGAAAAATCTTGTAAATACGGGATTAATTTACTTGGATACACAAGCGATACACTCACCCACGCAATAAATACAACAATTTACTAATGCAAAACTATATATACTACCTCTAGTTCATAATATAAGAGGTAGTTACATATTCAACTTGATTCTCAAATCAAAACTCTAATATGTTTTGTCTTTAATATTTATCCACTTTGCCTCTAAGATTCTCTATAGTAATTACACATGCAAGTTAAGGAATTTTTATCAAGATGTAACTTCAATACATATGAATGATGAGGATATTTTAGAAAAGATAATATGATTTTATTACAAATAACTAATTTAACTAATATTTATAAATTAATTATCTAACTTTTCTATTAAAAACCGGACGAGCTATGGTATATTGTAGATATCATGCCCTGATCCTGATACAACTGCTGTTTCCCACTTTTAGCTTCTTTTTTTTTTTTTTCAGTTTGATTCGTAATCTTGTATTAGGCCATACTTTTATCTCCCCATAACGCATAATAAAATAGATAAAAACATATTATAATTAATATTAAAACACAACATACGATATTATACAGCTTTTAACAGCGAGTGCATTAGTTATTGCACGTTACATATTTTGAAATGCACACAATAAGAAGCCTTGAGATAACATTCAGTGCTTGAGGTAAAAAGAAAGAAAGAAAAAGAAAGGAGACAACTTCTTCAATGCAATGAACAGTAATCTTCACTCATTTTCAGGCTTTAGAGCAGACTTTTCCATCACAATCCCACCCATCTTTCTGATTCTCTTCTTCTTCTTCCTTGGTACCTGCCTCTAGGATTTGAGCAGCCTCTTTGGCCTCCTCTATCTCAGAGAGCTCTGCAAACTTCTCAGGAGTAAAAGGGTATGCAGAAACACCATGCTTTTTAATGGTCTTGACCACATTGGAATGAAGGGTCTTTCCATTTGGCCCAATAATGACCAAAGTGGGCAAAGCAGACAGCTCAAAGTAACGAGCCAACTTCACACAGATCTTATCCTTGTACGGCAATGCCAACCAGGGAACACTTTTTAGTGCTTGGTTGAACGATTCTTCTTCTTCATCATCAACAGATATCCAGACGATCTCAAAGTTTTCTCCCTTTGCTTTCAGCTTCTCATAGACCTCCACAAGCTTTGGGGTAAACTCAGCAGATGTTCCGTATGAAAAAGCAGAGAAATACAGACCTATTGTCTTCCCCTCAAGTTCAGACACAGGTACCTGCAAGTAAAAGGAAAGAACAATTCAAACCTTGCCTCACTTGTAGAGTATTAGATTATTGAGAAATAGTTTGTCTATCCTTGAGCTAATTTGATAGGACTTGCCTTCAGAGTATATATACACCTTCAATTTATTCTTGAATAATTTTTCGCATCTTTTATTCTTTTTTTTTGTCCTTTTCTCTATCTTTCATTCAATTTTTTTTGTAATTATTTTTTCAATCTTCATTTTTTTTCTCCTTATTTTTTCCTTTATTTTTGTGTGTCATATTAGATTTTTGAGAAATAACTATATATTTCCTTCGCATTTTAACATAAAAGTTAAATAACTTATTTGCAAACATTAAAATACGATATTTTTATATTTACAATTAATATAATATTACCTCCGATCTTTAATATAAGAGTTTATTAGAGTTTTATTTGATTTTTATTTTAGTTCTAAATATAAGACCTTGATCTACTTTGTCTCTCATAGTTATCTTTTTTTTTAAAGATATTTTTTATAATAATAATAGTTCTAATCAATATACTTGATTAGTAATGATGTTTTAAGAAATGCAACACTTATTTATTACAAATAACTAATTTAACTAGTTTTTTAATATACTTAAATTAGTCAACTAGCTATTATACTAAGGATTAAAATTAATAAGACTTATCTTGAGGCTATATACTTTCAATTCATTATCAGCTTAGTGAATGTGGGATTTTTTCATATGCTAGAGTAAATTAAATAAAGTGACAGAAGAAAAGTTACTTGGTTTCCATCAGAAGATATAACAAAGTCACGTGACTTGAAGGCCAAAATAGACCTCAAGGACTGGTTCCTCCTGGCTTCATCTTCTCGCTCTCTCAACTCTCTGATCTTTTCTGTTGTAAAAGCGTATGCTTCGGCTACATACTCAAGTACAACCGAGATTCCATCTTCAGTGGCCACTTTCCCATTCTCATCAAGGATTATAAGCTGGGGAATCCCTCCCACCTTCAACAATCCATTCAGGCGATTGCGTGTGTCTGAATCAGAAAATGGAATTGCAAGCCATGGCATCTTGGAAAAGTAAGCTTCGAAGCCATCTTCTTCTTTATCAGCTGTCACATACACTATCTCCAGGTCACCTTTTGCAGAAACTTCATTGTACAGCTCTTTCAAAGTAGGAGTGAATCTTCTGCAAGGTGGGCACCAAGATGCTGAAAAATATAACCCAACTTTCTTCCCCTTCAAGCTCTCAATTTTAACCTGAAAAAAGAAGTGATGATGACGACATGAATTTTGTTTCTTAAAAAGCAAAAAACCTTTTTTATGTGCATGATCATGGAGGTTTGCCGAACAAAAAAGAATACGGCCGGCATAAATAAACATGTGAAATAATAATGCCTAGCTATTAGCTATCTTTCACAATGGAACAGTATATTTATGAGAGATTCTGCCAGAGTTCATATATACTCAAAAAATCATTTCGAGCTTTATTTTTTTGATTTAGCAGCAGAGTATAAATCTCATACTTATATCGAAAACCCCAAAGAACAAGCTGATCCATCACAATTCACATGTTTCGTGAATCGAACATGGTTGAAACAACAGAAAAACAGTGATCGAATCATGTTCAATCGGAAGACCGAGTCTAGTATGGGAAGGCTGTTGACCAAAACTTCAGATGTACTAGTATATCATACAGAGTCATGAAGAAACACACACAGACTTCGAGTTTTCCAAAGTGTTTGATAATTTTCCGGGAAAATGAAAGCAGAAATCGCATCAAATGATTAAATGAAAGGACCAAATGAGTTACCTGATCGCCATTGTTTCGAACCAGATAGTCCCTCTCTGAAGAAGACAAGATAGATTGAATATCGTGGGCGACGTTTCAACGCCAGCCATTTTTCTCGGTCTGTAAAACATCGGACGTGGTATTATTAGCATTGGCACGCAACTGAGGAAGTAACTTTTTTTGGACAAGGAGTTTCGCAATCAATAATGGCTATTTATAGGGAAAGAAAATCTATCTTTTTCCCACTCTTTCTGGAATGATTCTTCGTCGGTGTGATTCCAGAAACATAACTAAGCATTTCTCTCTTTTTCCTTTGAACGTCGCAGCTGGCCCACGTTGTTCATATATGTGCGACCATGAAACGCGGCGCCGGTAACAACTAGAAGGGGACAGTTTGAACAGAGGATCACGCGGTGGATATAATTTAAAATCTGATCCAATAATATGTTTCGAAATTTTATAATAGGACCAAATTATCATTGAGGATATGATATTATGTTTTCATAGTCGATTGCTAAATTATCCTTCTATACTTTGAAAAATTTCATCTTTCATTATCATCATCTGTAAGTAAACTTTGTTGCTTTAATAACTTCTGCTTTCAATATGTTACATCCGATCATTAATATAAGAATTAATTAAATGTTTAATTTGATTTTAAGTATAATACTCCAATTCACTTTGTTTTTAATATTTATCTATTTCTCTCCAAATAATCACTATAATGATGGCACATATTAAGAAATTTTTATCAAGGGCATTTTCAATATACATGATATTAATAAAGATATTTTAGAAAAGTCAATGCACATTTCTTACAATTAATCAACTTAATTAATTTTTTTAATTTTTGTAAATCAGTTATCTAGCATTCTAGTTCTTATATTAAGGACTAAAAGTTGTATTAAAGAAAACTTGTCAACAAAATTTAATATATAAATATTAATAAAGATATTTTAGGAAAGTCAACGCTTATTTTTTTTTTATGCAGTGTGCTTATTAAAATAACAAGTTAACTTGTTATTTTACTAATACTTGTCAATTTATTTGAAAGAACTTGTCAATTTAATATGTAGAATGTAGGAAGTCTTTATAATTCAAAGTGTGTTTGTGAAAGTGAAAAGTTCAACATGAAGAGCGTGAGTCTAGTAAAAAAAGAAGTGGTAAGTAAAACTTACTAAAATGAAAATTCTAATTAAAGTTTTAACGGGGCAATCGTGGGGGAGGATGAAAACTAGTAATTAATGAGTTAGTTGATAACTTATATTTAGAATTAAAAACTATTGAAAAAAAGGTATTATGAGATCTCAAAGAGGATATTTAATTATCAAAAAGTCTCAATGACAAGCTAACAGTTTAAAATTTTGTTTTCATTTTTTATGTTGAAACTTGTTATTACATACTTTTTAGTTGTTAACGGAATATTGGGTAATTAAATCCCTTCATTAGTATCTAATAATAAGCCCCACAAAATTATTTCTAGAAGAGGAAACATCTCTCTTTCATCTAAATGCTCCCTAACTGAAATACAATAAAATGAGGACTATTACCATTTTGATCCTAAATGTAAATCATTTTGTAATGCAGATTATAAAATCGCACTTACTTTTGTATTAAGAATGGAAGGAGTAATGCTTTTGGTGAGCACGTTTTAGTGTTTAAAATCTGCTACTTTTGTGCAAGACAAAATAACGGCTTTTCAGTTTCACATGACAATAGTATTTTGATACATATGTTTTTGCCATTTTCGGTTCTTTAATATAAAATCGCACTTATTTTTAAATCCAACTAGCATACTCGTCGTTGAAACTTGGTAATATGTTTACATCAAATCATTAAATATAAATAATCAATGAAATAAAATATAGAAGCGATATGGCACTTATAATTAATTAGTTCCATGGAGGCATCGACAACTTCCATTGGTTGTTCTTAGTTCATCTTTCCATGTTTATCTATTATTAGCTATTAATTTAGGTCAACAATATTTTGAAACGTGCCATTTATTGATTCCCCACTTATTTGTGTTTTGATTAATGTGTAAGTTCAAATTGTTTAAATCTCAGAATATCACGTGCACATAAACGACTTTGCCTTTCTAAATTAATGTTTGTAGTAATCAATTTTGTTCCAATTAATTTTTTCAAACTGAAACTGGAATCCTTGAATAATGAAAGTTAATTAGTGTAATATGATTTATATTTAAATAGGATTTTGTTGGCAAAAATATTTAAATAGAAAAAAAAAAGTTAGTTTATGTTAAACTTATTTGAATGATCTAATTGAAAACTTGCCTTCAAAAGGTTCAACTCTGAAAAAAAAAAAACTAAAAATCAAAAGTGGAAAAAGCTGACATGTTAATTATAAAATAAAATAAATTAATTTCACAGTTTTATCAAGTAATAATAGTTAATATTTTAAACTTGTTGAAAAAAGCATGACTTCTTAATTTTGCCCTTCACTGACATTAATAATTACAATAGAAATGTTGTCTGGAAATTAAAATCATGTTGATGCTATATTTCAAGGCCAAAAATTCTTATAATTACATCTTTACCCTATACCCTATATTTAAAATTAAGTAGGATTTTATTATTATTAACTAACAAAGAGACTAGAAAAAGTTATCAACTAATAAATTGACATACTACAACTTCATATTTAAAATATCCTTGTTTTTCTTTCTTTTTTTCAAGGGATGAAAAGGCAAAACAAGGATATTTAAAATATCCTTACTCCCATGCTGCTGATGGCAATTTTGTATTATTGATCAACCTCTGCCTCTGTGCCTAAGATGATAAGAGAGATCGGGTGCAATCTTTTATTGTTTGAGTAATTTTATCCAACTTTTTTATTAAAAAAATGTTATATATTTGGCAACATTTATTTTGGCTACAAAAGAGAGCTGACACCCAAAATAAACAAAACTAAGTCATAAGAAAGGAGATCCCACGGTGTCCTCAATTGAAATGGCAAGGTCGAAACATAAAAACTGCGGAGTGAAAGAATAATTGGACCTGAGATATTATGAGCCTAAAAATGGGCTTGTCATTTTGCCATTTTAACTTATCCAATGACCCCAATACATTTAGAATCAAAATAAGATCACAAATCTCTCTATTTAGAAAAGCTGGATGTGGGAAATAATCAAAGTGTTAGAAGGAACAGAACAGATTTAAACCAAAAATCTCTCTTGCACGCAGAGACTTTGTCAGCTGTAATTTGATTTCTCCATAACAGATTTAAACCAATAATTTGCCCTCATTTTAATTTTTTTCTTTATAATTTTAAATTATAAGTTTTGATTTCTCAATAAGAAAAATGGTTCTGGTTCTTATTAAAATACAAGAAGCAATCAAAACTTATGATTTGTAATTAAACGCACCAAAATCAAAATAAGCATATACTGTAAAAATGAAATATTGTATTCATCCAATAATTTATTATATATTTTCATTTGTGTGGTTGTTTTCAATACAATTAATTACATAGGACGGAGGAGTAGGAGAAGAGCGTGTGGGTGGGGGAGAGTTATGGAGGATGCAGAAGTAGGTCAAGGATGGGATTAGGATAGTTGCTGCTCTTAAATGCTGATTGTGACCAAGGTAAATCAAATCCCCCCTTCCTCTTCCATCCATCCTCACTGCCCGCCCCCTTCCCTCTTCTCTTCTCTTGTCTTCTCCTGAAAATAACACCGTTCAGAGAGAAGATGTCCTTTCAAGTTCAGCCACAGGCACAGCCACAGCAGCCAGTTCAGGTGTACCCTGCCACTGTCACCACCCAGCCACCTCCCCATCATTCCAATGGTTCCTTTGGGACTGTTTTCATTGTGCTGGCTGTGATTTTGGTCATTTCTCTTCTTGCTTGCTTTCTCGGCCGCCTCCGCAGCCGCCGCCGCCACCCTGAGAGCTACGGTGGTGGTCATCATGGCCATAAACCATACAAGCAGCAAAACATGAACCAGAACCAGAACCCGAACCAGAACTACCAGTTCCGACCCAAAGAAGGTGATGTTGAGCTTGGGTTTGACAAGAGGATCCCAACTACCAAACCCAACGGGCACAGGAACGGGCCTGGTCCTGGACTTGGGCATGGATCCCAAGGATCAAAGCCACCTTACTATGGTGGAAACGAAGGCAACGGTGGTGTTAATGGTGGTGAAGAGAAGGGATTTGAGATGAGGAATGGAAGAGAAAGTAGTATGAGAGAGCAGGGGCATGGGCCTCGGCCTGGACTTGGGTATGGAGGCCGAGGTCCGAGGCCACTTGTCTATGGCGGTTAATAGAGGGGTTTTGAGATGAAGAATGGAGGAGAAAGAAGTATGAGAGAGCAGGGGCAGGGGCATGACGCTCCTTATTAGTTTACCTTGTGAGTATAACACAACCGTTCCTATTATAGTATTGGCTTTCTCTTTAATCATTTTAATTCTCTACTTTTTTCTAGCGTTTTAGATACAGATGGTTTGGATTCTCTTTAAACGAGATGGTCCTAACCTGTTAAAATATACATAAAATAGGGGCCTATTTTATGTATATTTAAAGAGGTTAGGACCAGAAATGTAAAGAGAAACTCAACCAAAGTCTACGAATTATATAATTGTCTATGGTGTGATATGATGACATGATGTATTGAGGGTGTGTTTTGTTGGCTTTGTGTTCTATACATATGAATAGAAATCAATTTTATTGATTCGATAAAGAAGTTGATGTTTAGTTGTTTAGGTAATATTTTGTAGTGTAAATTATATTACAAAATGAGTGTCTTACGTTTACAACAAGAAGAATAATATTTTATGAGACTGTTGATACAGATATATTTAAGAAAAATAATATAATGTGAGGTTTATTATTTAAATTAAAGTGCACGAACAACTTTACTCTTTAAGGAAATTAATGCAAGTATTCTTAATGTCTCTTTCTTTTAGAAGGCATCTGTAGAATAATAAAATGTTATGTAAGATTTGTTTTAATTTGCCTCATTGGCGATGGAGATCTAAATGAGTGTACATTAAAACATAAGATTACCTAAATGATTAAAGTGAAATATGAATAGAGATTCGGAGATCACATAAAGAAAAATATGGTACGTACATGTACACACAAGACTAGTTTAAACGTGCAATATACTCAATTTTTTGTTTTATTTACTTTTTCTTTCAATCATTAACGAAGAACGTTCAAGCATGTTAGGATTTTTCGTACACCATCTTATTATAAGTGTGAGAACTAAATATTTAATTCATATATATATTAAAGAAATTTGTTATTTATAATAAATGTACGGTGATTTTTTAAAGTATTTTTTAATCTCATTAGAAACTAATTTATTGATGAAAACTCCTCCTTTTTTAATGGGGATGATTTGCAGGGAGAAATCATAAATTTAAAAAAGAAAATAGGTTGTTACTACCTTCAGTTCTAAATATAAGATTTAATTAGATATTCTTTAATTTGATTATAAACATAAGACTCTAATTCACTTTGTTTCTCGTGTTTATTTATTTTTTTCTAATAATCTTTAGAGTAAGTGTGAAAATATTTTTAATACATATAATTAACAAAAATATTTAAAAAATATCATTTATTTATTATAAATAACTAATTTTTTTTTAAATATTTACAAATTAGTCACCGCTCAGCTAATTTTGAGGCTTCGAAATGAAGGCGGTATTAATAATAACGAGATGGAACCTCATGCCGCTTAACAATTATTCTCTTTTGCCTGACAAAGATTATAACGGCAGTCCTACGATCCTCACAAGGCATTCACATGACGCTTTGATTTTACGGATTGGACTGACCATGAATTAATATAGACACAAACATATTAATGAAAAGGGTGATTTTTCGAAATTTTGTCATGTTCAAAGGCTTCCACCGACGGTATATCCCAGCTTTTCTCCCTCGCTGCATGAGGGTATCATACAAATAGATTTATTTTCATTGAAAGTGAGGGGGGGGGGGGGAATATGGGAGTGTGAATGATCTTGATCTGTTAAGGGTTGCTTTCGCTGCAGCTTCTCGAGTGAGGAGCATTTTGGACATTAGGAGCAAAAAAAGAGTAAGAGAGTCAAAAACTGCTTTCTGGGTTGCAAGAGTAAGATTCCCGCTGCAAAAGATATGATTCTGATTAGAATGATACAATTACAGCATACCCTTTTCTTTCCCCATCCAAATATTGCAAAGGGCAAATTGGTTAGCCTTGTCGTGTACCATGTGCTTCAAATTGCTCCCACATTACACAAACACTGATCTATATATATATATATATATATATATATATATGTAGAGAGAGAGAGAGAGAGAGAGCACAAAAATGAAGCATCTTTTTCCCTTCTCCATCACAGAACAAAACCTCAAAAAGCTAACTTCACAGAAAGCAAATTTGCAGTATTAAGAGGAGACACAGAAATGCCAGGCTTGGAGGTAGCAGCAGTGGAGGGATTCAGAACCTTTGACTGAGACTAAAGCTTGGGACTATGTTGTAGTATGGAAGTATGGCGATGATCCAACAAGGTAAATAATACTACCAGGAAAAAGGTGAAACAAACCCATTTCTTAAATCATTCTATCAGATGGAAAAATCTGATCTTTCTTCTTCTTCTTCTTGTTCTTCTCTAGATTTATTGAGTGGATGGGCTGCTGTTGTGTTGGGGGATGTAATGGAAGCAAGAACGAAGAGGAAAAGGAGGAAGAATATAGACTGGGTCGTAGATGTAGGGATAGTCACTATCAGCATCCAGTGAGAACCAAGGCTTGTGAGGCCCTTGCTCTGCTTCCTTATACAATGCCACTTTATTCTGGGTATAATAACTATTTCTGAAATTTTGATTCTGGGTTTGCTTATACTTTACACAAAGGAAATTAAAATCACTAACAGGATAGTAATTTGATCCAGTGTTCATGGAGACGTGGCAATATCAAAACAACCTCAATGGCTTTCCCAGGTAATTAAAGTTTATTCCTAAGAGTAAGATGGGGTGTGTTTGGATGACACCCCAAACCATGGTTTGGGGTGTCAATCACCCAAACACTCCCTCTAAAAACCAAAACCATGGTTTTGGGTCAAAACCATGGTTTTGACTCCAAAACCATGGTTTTGGGTCAAAACCATGGTTTTGACTCCAAAACCATGGTTTTGGAAAAAGCAAAATTTTTTTGCTTTTGGAAAAAAAAGGGAGAGTGTGAGAGCTTATATGATATGTATCTTGTTATTTTTTTTATAAACATATTTTTTGATAAACATATTTAATCTTATATTTTATAAATATATATACACATTAATTATTTATTAATTATATTATCTTATGTATTATTAATTATGTTGGTAAAAAATATATTATTAACAATTTTATTCCTTCAAATTAAAATATATCATAAAATCTATTTTTTCTGTAATTATCATATTAACTTATGTCTTTTTTTTAGTAATTTGTATATATAAAAAGTGCTTCTGATAATAACTATCCAAACACTCACTTCTCAGAATCACTTTTTTACAAAATCTATTCTTCACAGAATCTATTCTCTCCAGAATCACTTTTCCAAACCACGGTTTAGTTTCATCCAAACACACCCCAAGAGTAAGATGTTGACCCAAGTAGTAGATCACCTGTTTGATTTTCTTCCTCCGTAAATGACATAAATCTATTCTTTTTCATTTTTCCATTTATATTTCCTCTCAAAATTGCCATACTGGTGAAAGTTAAAGCTTTCTTGGCTTATAAATAGTGAATTTTTTATTGGTTTTATATAATATATATATTCATATATTATATAAAATCTGAAAAAGCAATAAAATGACAGGATTCAACCGGAACGCAAGTTTCGATCCCTATTATTGGTGGTATTATAGAGCTCTTCTCAGCAGAGACTGTAAGATCTATGAATCTTTATACTTACCTTTCATCATCTCTATCTGAAAGTTCCAAGTTTATGCAATTAAACCTTCATGTTTCACAGGTACCAAAAGATTCAAGGATCATAGAGTTGATAACTGCATGTTGCTGTCTCTCTATGAAAAATGAAGCCATTTCTGAACATCCACCGTTAGATTCATGCTACCCACAAAGCTTAATTTCTAGCATACACACATCTGCAGTAGAGCAGTGCATCTCTCACCCAAGCATTGAAGGATCCTCCAGTGGATCATATCCTTCAAATGAAACTCCAAAAGAACATCAAAGAGGTTTGGATTTCCAGTGCGGCACTCTAGAAGAAGATAAACCAGAGTTGCTCACAAGACCTCAAAGGGAATTCTATACATCTAAAAATCTTGTCACAGAGAGGAATAGGAGGAGCAGGATAAAAGATGGGCTTTATGCTCTACGAGCTTTGGTCCCAAAGATAACCAAGGTACAGAGATGATTATGCGACCCTGTGTGTGTGTGTGTGACAGATTATTGAATCTCCTTCATCTTGTTCAGTATTGAATCTGCTGATTTATTTCTGGCAGATGGATAGGGCATCCATTGTTGGAGATGCCATTGATTATATAAAGGAACTGCAAGAACAAGAAAAAGGACTTAGACACAAGATCACGGCTTTGGAAGAAGAGGATTATAGAAAGAACAAACCACAGTGGAGGAGGCCAATATTGAAGGAACAAAGAGGAACCAGAAGTTTGCATCTTGATGAGCCCATCCAAAATTCCTCTGATTCCACAAAAAGGACCCAGATGGAGGTAGAAAAAGAGAGTAATAGAATGAACTCTGCTTCACAATTTTTCAAAGCCATGAATGAAACTACATATTAGAAACTTATATTGCCATGTCTGTGGTTGTCACCTCATCACTAGCTGTCATCTCACATTCTCCTCTCTCCCCCATACCGCCATGTCATCCCCCCATCTATATCATCGCCACGTGTCCATCATTGTGAGCTGCCATATGTCATCAATGGCTGCCACCTCGCCAGCTCCCCTCTCTCCTATATTGCCATGTCATCTCTTCATCCATGTCATTGCCACATGTCCATCATTGTGATCCACCATGTCAATCACCAACCACCACCTCAAACGCTTCCTCTCTCCCATGCCGTCCATGTCACGTGGTCTCTTCATCCATGTTATTGCCACATGTCCATCATTGTGATCTACCATGTCATCACCAACCACCACCTCAACACTTCCTCTCTCCCATGCTGTCCATGTCATCGCCACGTGTCAATCATTTTGAGCCGCCACGGCATTGTCTTGTCCACATCATCGCCACGTCACAAATTGGCTCAATTTGTGAAAGAGTGTTGGTTCAAATCTGAGACCTCGTGCCTACATACTGAAGCTTTTGCCAGTTGAGCTGAGAATTACTTGTGAAATTTTTATGCAAAAATATATATAATATTTCTAATAACAAATACAAATACATATAATAAATATTATATGTATAATTTAATATATATTATATAATTTAATATATTATTATTTATTTGAATTAATTTTTATATTTTAGTAAAAAAATTGCTAACAATTTATATTTTTATTCAAATATTTAACAAAATAATAAAGTATATTATATATTTTTATTTTTATTTTATTTTAATATTTGTATTTTTTAATTTTATATAATATATTATTTAAAAATTATGAAATATTATATTTTTTATTTTATAATAATTTTAAAAAATAATTATTATATATTATATTATATTTTTTGTGACAGATTAGTGATGGAATTGCGATGAAAATTAGTGACGGAAAATTTCCACTATTAATTTCCGTCATAAAATATTTTGTGATAGGAGTTAGTAACAGAATCAGCGACGGAATTGTGACACAATTTAGTGACGAAATTTTATTTCGTCACTAATTCTTCACTAATTTAGTGACAGAATAAAATTTTGTCACTAATATGTCGCTAATTTAGCAACGAAATTTTCTGTCACTAAATTCTGTCGCTAATTTTAGTGATGGAATTTATGAGGAATTAGCGACGGAATCATCACTCGTTCCCTATACAATTTGTTTTATAAAATTCCCCTTTCTTTTCACCATGTCTAATTTTTGCAGCACTACATAAAATATTTTTATTACGAAATAAAACTGAGACCAAATAAATTAATCTTAGATTGTCATTTAAAAGTTTTCGTATGGATAAAGTGAGTTATACATGTCACGTAACTTACAGAAAAAGGACTATAAATGTGGTGGCAAGTAATCAATTTTGCTGGGTTACTCAAAATTCTATAAATTAGGCTCTAAATTTTAGTTTTCAACATTTACAGATTTTATATTTTGATATTTTTATATAATAAAAGTAAGATTATAAAGTTGTATTTCTCGTTTAAGAAATAATTAATTGGAATGTATATATCATGGGGAGAGAAAAAAGAATTAATGGTGGGGAATAGGGCAAGCAAAAAATTCATGGGGAGAGAAAAAAGAATTAATGGTGGGGAATAGGGCAAGCAAAAAATTCATATTTCATACGCTTGTGAGGAATCTTTTGTTCCTTCTTGGGGTGTTTTTAGCATTTGTGCTTTTAGTCGCTTCCCTCTGCTGTTACCAAAATAAAAATATATTCCCAAAAAGTTAACAATAAAATAATAACAATATACGAACAAAATTGAAAAGAGGTATTGCACACGTGTCAATTTAACCTTCTTCTTTTTTGTCTTTCCTCCTTATTCATAGCCTTCTCTTTTTAAAAAATAAAAGTTTCAAATTTCTTAATGAACAATATTTTATAGTTATTAAATGCTGCAATAAAATTTCTTCTTCTTTTTTTCTATTATTTTTGAAAGAGTTAAATTTTTACTAAATATAAACACATATCCTACCAAGATTCTGAGAATTCCAAATTTATCATATTATGAAATATCAGTTTTTTCAGGTAAATTTAACCCCCGAACTTGAGATGTCATCCAAACGTGGCAAGTGGCATTACCATTAAGATAGGTTGTTGTTAACATTTTAAACACATATATGAGTAGTATAAATTAGAATTTTTTGGGGACAAAAGTATAAATTAAATCAAAATGGTTGATGTTTAGTATTTTAAGTGGAGCTAGAACAAGGACAATATTCAAAAACTTTTGAGGAGTCGTAACTCATGAAACACAATTGGGAATCTTTGTTGCTTCTTGGAGTGTTCTTGCATTTGTGCTTTTATTCTTCTTTATCCATCAAAATTGGGAAAAAAAATACAATAAAATAATACAATCAACAAAAATGATTTTAAAAAAACACGTGGGCTTGCACTTGTCAATAATCCACAACGTTTCATGGTCCAGTTGGCATTTAAGAACAAGAAGCTAAACAGTTAGGTCCAAACCCATTAATATTAATTAATGTTATGATTAAATTGTGATTAATCTTTCAAATAATTAACACACGGACAGATACGAACTCATCGCTTCTCTCCCACTTTGCTAAAAGGCAAAAAGAGAACCATTAATAAGTAAACCTGATTAAGAATGCACTAATCCCCATCTTAAATTTAATCATGTTATACACACTTTTCTTTATATCTCTTCCTCAAATTATTCATAAACTAGAAACTTGAACTTTTACACAACACGCATACGGAGATACTATTTCAAATTATATTACTCATCCGGTCCTTAATATAAGATCCATTTAACTAATTTGATTAGATTAAGGAAGTTAGGTAAGTTGGTTAATTATAAGAAAAGTGACACATTTTTCCTAAAACACCATAATCATCTTTCTTAATATCCCATTTCCCTCTTCTATTTGATTATGGTTGAGGGAATATCCATAGGGGTAATTTAAAGAACATTGATAAATATGAGAAATGGGCCTTATATTTAGGACCAAAACCAACTTAACAATTGGATCCTATATTAAAGACCGGAAGAGTATTTAATATAAGAGGTATATAACTAATTTGAAAATGTTAAAAAATTAAAATCAGTTATTTATAATAAATATGTGTTGATTTTTTTAAATTGTGTTCTTTAACCAAGTGCATTATAACTAATTTTTGGTGAAAATATGTCACAATCAGTAAGAATATTTTAGAAAATATTATAAATGTAGGAGACAACGTGGAATGAAATCTTGTACTCCTTCAGTTCTTAATATAAGATTTATTTGACTAATTTGATTAGATTAAGAAAGTTAAGTGAGTTACATAATTATAAGAAATATGGTATATTTTTCTTGAAACACCATAATCATCTTTCTTAATATCTTTCCTCTTTCTTCTACTTAATTATGGCTGAGAGAATATCCACATAGGTAATATAGAAAAAATTGATAAATATGATAAATAAGTCTTATATTTAGAACCAAAATTAACTCAATAATTAAGTTTTATATTAAGGACCAGAGAAGTATTTAGTACCAAATCTAATTCTCAATTAACTTTTATATTAAAAACAAAAAAAATAGTATATGGAAGTAAGAGTTGTCGATAAGTGAAAAAAAATTAGTAAAAAACCATTATCAATGTATGAAGCACAGTAAATGACAAATCCTTTCTAACTATATTTACACTATAAATAAGAGTTGAAAATTAATATACCACCTATATATATATATGTGATATAACAGGATATAAACAGTGGAGTTGATTCTACAATACACACCAGGCCACAGCAAATAAAAGTAGATGCTTAGCAATCTTTTTTAAATGCTTGACCCGAAATTGATGAGTATTCTTGCACGCAGAGACTTTGTCAGCTGAAGCAATATATACCAAACCTATAAACCAAAGACCCTAATCTTTCACTTCCCAATTGATTAAACCAAAAATCTCTCTCTCTCTCTCTCTCTCTCTCTCTCTCTTCTAGACCTCTAAAGTAACAACAAACAGAATATATATCTTTACTTGGGGTTGTCGATCTCTTTACAAAAAGAAAGTGCCTCCCTTTAGGTGTGTATTGGATTAATTATTTGAATCCCACATTTGCATTTAACCTCATCTCACAAGGTAAATCAAATCAATCCCACTGTGCATTGCTTCGCCACTTAACCAAAACCCACGTATTTCCCTTTCTCTATCTGCACTCAAAGAACATATCGCTTCTCTAACTTATTATACTCATCAAATCCCTCCTTCCTCTTCCATCCATCCTCACTACCCACCCCCTTCCCTCTTCTCTTCTCTTGTCTTCTCCTGGAAATAACACCGTTCAGAGAGAAGATGTCCTTTCAAGTTCAGCCACAGGCACAGCCACAGCAGCCAGTTCAGGTGTACCCTGCCACTGTCACCACCCAGCCACCTTCCCATCATTCCAATGGTTCCTTTGGGACTGTTTTCATTGTGCTGGCTGTGATTTTGGTCATTTCTCTTCTTGCTTGCTTTCTCGGCCGCCTCTGCAGCCGCCGCCGCCACCCTGAGAGCTACGGTGGTGGTCATCATGGCCATAAACCATACAAGCAGCAAAACATGAACCAGAACCCGAACCCGAGCCAGAACTACCAGTTCCGACCCCAAGAAGGTGATGTTGAGCTTGGGTTTGACAAGAGGATCCCAACTACCAAACCCAACGGGCACGGTAACGGGCCCGGTCCTGGACTTGGGTATGGATCCCAAGGATCAAAGCCACCTTTCTACGGTGGAAACGGAGGCAACGGTGATGTTAATGGTGAAGAGAAGGGATTTGAGATGAGGAATGGAAGAGAAGGTAGTATGAGAGAGCAGGGGCATGGGCCTCGGCCTGGACTTGGGTATGGAGGCCGAGGTCCGAGGCCACTTGTCTATGGCGGCGGCAGAGGAGGCAACGGTGGTGCTGGTGGCGGTGAAGAGAGGGGTTTTGAGATGAAGAACGGCGGAGAAAGAAGTATGAGAGAGCAGGGGCATGGGCATGACGCTCCTTACAAGTTTACCTTGTGAATACAACATAACCGTTCCTATTATAGTATTGGCTTTCTCTTTTAAGCATTTTAATTCTTTACTTTTTTCTAGTGTTTTAGATACAGATGGTTTGGATTCTCTTTAAATGAAATGGTTCTAACCTGTTAAAATATACATAGAACAGGCCCTTTTTATGTATATTTAAAGAGGTTGGGACCAGAAAATGTAAAGAGAAACTCAATCAAAAGTCTACGAATTATATAATTGTATATGGTGTGATATGATGACATGATGTATTGTGTGTTTTGGCTTTGTATAATATACATATGAATAGAAATCAATTTTATTGATTGGATAAAGAAGATGATGTTTAGTTATTTAGGTAATATTATGGAATATGATACTTTTCTTATCCTAAATGTAAAATTTATTTGGTAGTGTAAATTATATTACAAAATAAGTGTCTTAAATTTACAACCAGAAGAGTAATATTTTATAAGACTGTTGATACAGATACCTTTAATGAAAATAATATAATGTAAGGTTTATTATTTAAATTAAAGTGTATGAACAACTTTACTCTTTAAGGAAATTAATGCAAGTATTCATATTGTCTCTTTCTTTTGGAAGGCATCTGTAGAATAATGAAATGTGATGTAAGATGATTTGTTTTAATTTGCTTCATTGACGATGGAGACCTAAATGAGTTTACATTAAGAAATAAGATTAGCTAAATGATTAAAGTGACATGTGAATTGAGATTCCGAGTTCAGATAAAGAAAAATATGGATACATACATGTACACACAAGACTAGTTTAAACATGCAACATGCCCAATTTTTTATTTTATTTACTTTTTCTTTCAATCATTAACGAAGAACGTTCAAGCATGTTAGGATTTTTCATGCACCATCTTATTATAAGTGTAAGAACTAAATATTTAATTCATATATATATTAAAAAAATTAGTTATTTATAATAAATGTACGGTGATTTTTTAAAATATTTTTAATCTCATTAGAAACTAATTTTATTGATGAAAACTCCCCCTTTTAATTAATGGGGATGGTTTGGAGGGAGAAATCATAAATTTAAAAAAGAAAATAGGTTGATACTACCTCCAGTTCTAAATATAAGATTTAGTTGGATATTAATTTGATTATAAATATAAGATTCCAATTCACTTTATTTTTCATATTTATTTATTTTTTCAATAATCTTTAGAGTAAGTGTAAGAATAGTTTTAATACATATAATTAACAAAATATTTAAAAAAATTTCACTTATTTATTATAAATAACTGATTTTTTTTTAATATTTACAAATCAGTTACAGCTCAGCTAATTTTGAGGTTTCGAAATGAGGGCGGTACTAATAATAACGAGATGAAACCTCACGCCGCTTAACAATTATTCTCTTTTCCCTGACAAAGGTTATATAACGGCAGTCCTACGATCCTCACAAGGCATTCGCTCTGGGGTTTTCGAGAATATATGCCGTACCCTTCCTCCCCTGTACGACCAGCATTCCTCAAAACACAAGTGGAAATCGAAATATGAATCATAAAAGAGGCCAACAGGGAAGGGGGGGGGGGACAAGAACCTGTACACACACATATATGCACAGTGAATTATTCCCTCCAAACAATCAAATCCCATGTGACACATGACGCTTTGATTTACGGATTGGACTAACCATGAATTAATATAGACACAAACATATTAATTAAAAGGGTGATTTTTCTAAATTTTGTCATGTTCAAAGGCTTCCACCGACGGTATATCCCAGCTTTTCCCCCTCGCTTCATGAGGGTATCATACAAATAGATTTATTTTCATTGAAAGTAAAAGGGGCAAAAAAAAAAAAGAAAAAAGAATATGGGAGTGTGAATGATCTTGATCTGTTAAGGGTTGCTTTCGCTGCTGCTTCTGGAGTGAGCAGCATTTTGGACATTAGGAGCAAAAAAAGAGTAAGAGAGTCAAAAACTGCTTTCTGGGTTGTAAGAGTAAGATTCCCGCTGCAAAAGATATGATTCTGATTAGAATGATACAATTACAGCATACCCTTTTCTTTCACCATCCAAATATTGCAAAGGACAAATTGGTTAGCCTTGTCGTGTACCATGTGCTTCAAATTGCTCCCACATTACACAAACACTGATCTATATATATATATATATATATGTAGAGAGAGAGAGAGAGAGCACAAAAATGAAGCATCTTTTTCCCTTCTCCATCACAGAACAAAACCTCAAAAAGCTAACTTCACAGAAAGCAAATTTGCAGTATTAAGAGGAGACACAGAAATGCCAGGCTTGGAGGCAGCAGCAGTGGAGGGATTCAGAACCTTGACTGAGACTAAAGCTTGGGACTATGTTGTAGTATGGAAGTATGGCGATGATCCAACAAGGTAAATAATACTACCAGGAAAAAGGTGAAACAAACCCATTTCTTAAATCAGTCTATCCGATGGAAAAATCTTATCTTTCTTCTTCTTCTTCTTCTTGTTCTTCTCTAGATTTATTGAGTGGATGGGCTGCTGTTGTGTTGGGGGATGTAATGGAGGCAAGAACGAAGAGGAAAAGGAGGAAGAACATAGACTGGGTCGTAGATGTAGGGATAGTCACTATCAGCATCCAGTGAGAACCAAGGCTTGTGAGGCCCTTGCTCTGCTTCCTTATACAATGCCACTTTATTCTGGGTATAATAACTATTTCTGAAATTTTGATTCTGGGTTTGCTTATACTTTACACAAAGGAAATTAAAATCACTAACAGGATAGTAATTTGATCTAGTGTTCATGGAGACGTGGCAATATCAAAACAACCTCAATGGCTTTCCCAGGTAATGAAAGTTTATTCCTAAGAGTAAGATGTTGACCCAAGTAGTAGATCACCTGTTTGATTTTCTTCCTCCGTAAATGACATAAATCTATTCTTTTTCATTTTCCATTTATATTTCCTCTCAAAATTGCCAGACTGGTGAAAGTTAAAACTTTCTTGGCTTATAAATAGTGAATTTTTTATTGGTTTTATATAATATATATATTCATATATCATATAAAATCTGAAAAAGCAATACAATGACAGGATTCAACAGGAACGCAAGTTTTGATCCCTATTATTGGTGGTATTATAGAGCTCTTCTCAGCAGAGACTGTAAGATCTATGAATCTTTATACTTACCTTTCATCATCTCTATCTGAAAGTTCCAAGTTTACGCAATTAAACCTTCATGTTTCACAGGTACCAAAAGATTCAAGGATCATAGAGTTGATAACTGCACGTTGCTGTCTCCCTATGAAAAATGAAGCCATTTCTGAACATCCACCGTTAGATTCATGCTACCCACAAAGCTTAATTTCTAGCATACACACATCTGCAGTAGAGCAGTGCATCTCTCACCCAAGCATTGAAGGATCCTCCAGTGGATCATATCCTTCAAATGAAACTCCAAAAGAACATCAAAGAGGTTTGGATTTCCAGTGCGGCACTCTGGAAGAAGATAAACCAGAGTTGGTCAGAAGACCTCAAAGGGAATTCTATACATCTAAAAATCTTGTCACAGAGAGGAATAGGAGGAGCAGGATAAAAGATGGGCTTTATGCTCTACGAGCTTTGGTCCCAAAGATAACCAAGGTACAGAGATGATTATGCGACCCTGTGTGCGTGTGTGTGTGTGACAGATTATTGAATCTCCTTCATCTTGTTCAGTATTGAATCTGCTGATTTATTTCTGGCAGATGGATAGGGCATCCATTGTTGGAGATGCCATTGATTATATAAAGGAACTGCAAGAACAAGAAAAAGGACTTAGACACAAGATCACAGCTTTGGAAGCAGAGGATCATAGAAAGAACAAACCACAGTGGAGGAGGCCAATATTGAAGGAACAAAGAGGAACCAGAAGTTTGCATCTTGATGAGCCCATCCAAAATTCCTCTGATTCCACAAAAAGGACCCAGATGGAGGTAGAAAAAGAGAGTAATAGAATGAACTCTGCTTCACAATTTTTCAAAGCCATGAATGAAACTACATATTAGAAACTTCAATTTTTTCTAGCATGTTTTCAGGTGCAGGTTGAAGTGAACCAGATTGGGAAGAGAGAGTTTCTTGTGAAGATACAATGTGAGAAGAAGAGAGGAGGGTTTGCAAGATTGATGGAGACTATCCATTTGTTTGGACTGCAGGTAACTGATGCCAATGTGAACACTTTCGGTGGCGAAGTAGTGAATATTCTGACTGTTAAGGTAAGGGTCTAAGAAATCAAAGCCAACAGTAATTAGTAAATATTATGCTTTTTTTATCAAAAGATTGGGTGTTTAGACAGTTAATCACACATTGGGACTTTTTTTGTTCCATACACAGGCAAATAAGCTTGATATTCACCCAGACATTTTGAGAGATTATTTAACTAAGCAAGCTGGTTCTCAAGAAAGAGGAGTTGATGTTGAGTTCACGAAGGCTTAAGAGATCCTTTAAACAATTGTGAAAGTTTAGTTTCAGATAGTTAACAACTAGTTACTTATCTGTAAATCACCGGACATGCTACAGTTTAATGAAAAATGTTGAAATCAAAGCATGTGGAAGCAACTGTGAATTTTGTTATGACGGAGTTGGGTAATAGCTTACAAGTAGTCTATTAGTTTCATGAAGAAAGATCATATGAAACTAACATGACTTCCAGACCTTTCTCTATTTTGGAATATAACAGCAAGATTACAAAATGATTAATCAGCCCGACCTAGCATCATATCATAAGGTCGATGTAATTCAGGAGGTCTCATTAAATGAATGAGATATCTAATGATACAAGTAATAAATAGATAACCTCAACAAGTTTGCCTTTTTACAAGCCTTTGAACATCCCCAGTATTTGATAAAATAAAATAAAAAATGGGGGAAATAAAGTTGATGAAACTGAGGACAGAGGCAAATGATGGTTCGACGGTCAATCTAACGTCCCATTTGGCCACCTTTTTTTTTCTTCTGGGTGAAGAAAATGCTTTTCCAAACCCAAAAATTAAGTGCTCCAGGAGAATGTGAAAACCATGGCATTTGGATAAAGCACAAGAAGAGTTTCAGCATTTTCAGCATTCTGAGTGCTGCTAACATCCGTTTCCTCGTATGAGTATGCCCAGTGTTGCTACTATGCGCTTGCCCTCATATTTGGCCCTACTAACTACTAAGTCCTTCTACTTGCATTGAAAGCCCGGCACTCTGACTCCCCGCTTGAAGTGCCCTTGAGCCATGAATGTTGTTGTCCAGAAAGCTCTACTGAAGAACAGCAATCTCCACTGTCCCTATCAAATTCAGATTCACTACAGCTGTCAATGGCCATCTTCCTGAACTTCATAATAGCGTCTTCACTATAGTGGCCATCATCATAAATGGTGCTCTGACCATATTTAACCCCATTTGATAAATCACATGATTCATCTTGACTATCCAATGCTCTTACCACCTGATAAGAAAATAGATAAGCTTAGTTTGACATAGAAATACTGGACAATTAAGTAATTGTGTCAAAAACAGTTAATGTATACCAAAAGTTTCGGTTTCTTGGTATTACCTGAACCATACGAGGCCGTTTTGGAGCAGAATGGCGAACACATGCTGCAGCAGCTTCAATCATTCTGCACATCTCGCTCTCCACAAATTGCTTGTTAAGCCTTTCGTCCTCTAATTCGCTGAAGTCTCGGGTCTCAATAGCACGATGAAGAAGGGGACGAGCCTGCATATAGTGGCAGGGTATGTTAATCTGGACTAAAAGAAAACACAACTGCTTCCGGAAGTTGAATGTGTTGTATTATAAAAAATAAAATAAAAACTCAAATTGATTCCTTTGGTGCAAGAAACTCCGGAATGATATATTGGGTTAAATGCAATATGGGAAAATTGTAATTTCTAAACAATAGTAAGAATGATGGACACGTCTGTGGGTTGCTAGGCCCTTCCTATTGCTCCTCAAAAGCAAAATTTAAGACGGTACCTAGATTTTTAGTTGGTCTCCTGAATATAAATTCTACAAAAAGGGAAAGATTACTTGGATATATTTCTGATGCCTTAAAATTGAATCAACAGAAATATATATTCTTTTTTTTTTTTACTAATTACGCATGATCTACTTGGAGAGTGGATTTGAAGGTGTTTCCTTGAACATATGTACAAATAATAGCATCAGTTTGTCTCTAGTCATGAACAAAGCATCGCCTACATCGATTTTTTTTTTTTTTGACCAGACGCCTATATCGAAATTGAAACACCGTTCCTAGAGGAAATAAGCTTGTGTTAATGGCCGTATTATGTGTTACTCTTTGCTTCTTCTGTTCACACAACTAATATGCCCTAGAACCAAATAAACACAATTCCAGGACAATAATTTTAAAAAGACATTATTTTATACGTTATTTACGATCCAGAAGATTTCATTTTCATTCAAATGGATAGCAGAGAGACAGGAACAAAGAAGAGGAAAACAAAAATTTCGAAGTTTACTTGATAAATTAAATACAAGGTTCCTGCATACCCACTCAACCAAACTTTCTTCTCCCACGGGCCGCGTCTGATCGACAGGTTTCCTCCCTGTTATGAGTTCAAGGAGGACAACTCCGAAGGAGAAAACATCTGATCTATCGGTCAATTTTCCGCTTGTTGCATACTCTGGAGCCATGTACCTGTGAAGTGAAGGAGAAAACATCAAATCTATCCGGCAACATTCCACTTGTTGCATGTTTTGGTGTTACTAAAGTACATTTTCTATGCATTATATCCCTTCACAGATAAGAAATTTAATCATAAAATACACCTTAAAGGCAGTTTCAAAACCCTTAAAAGACAAGCCAACTTATTGAAGTCTACCTGACTTCTACAGTGAAAGTGATGAATTAATTAATTGTGAATTTGTGATCATAAATCTAACTGTGGCAGATGAATACTGAGTAATGAACATCTCCAGAACCCATGCTAAATAAAGTCCACCAATTGTTTTTCATATCATCATAAATAAGGGGAGCTTTTTCTTTCTATTGTCCTGGAAGGTATTTCCTAATGAAAGCTAGTGCCAGAATTTACAGCTTTATGTTGAGACAAATAAAACCTACCCAAAAGTCCCCATAACCCGAGTTGATACGTGCGTGTTATCATCGTCATGTAGCCTAGCAAGTCCAAAGTCTGCAACCTGTGTTAAAAGAACATCAAACTAGAATACAGAGCAGCACATTTTTGGTAAAAAATAAAGGTATTCACTAACATACCTGTGCCTCAAACGCATTATCCAAAAGTATGTTTGCCGACTTAATATCTCTGTGGATAATTTTTGGGTTGCCTGGAAATAGATCAGATATTTATCAGCTCCAAAAAGCTCGCAGTTGCCATGGGCAAGGAAAAAAATTCACGTAACAGGAAAGATTAGCGATCATTTAACTTGTGCGTGGAATACATATGCATAGCAAAGCCAATTTCTATCTGCTCTTTTTTAATTAAATAAAAGGTTAACGTAATTTTTAATCCATCATGTTTATTCTCATTTTAGTTTTTACTCCTCAAGTTTCAAATCATAGGTTTTGGTTCCTCAGGTTGCTTTTCACTTAAAACATTAGTTCCTATAATTCAATGGAACCAAAAGTTATGATTTGAAACTTGAACAAACTTGAGGGATTAAAAATTATATTAATCCCTTAAATAAACAATGAACACGAAGGTGGTCATATAGTTGATGAAACATATGGAGAGAAGATATAAAGCGATTCAACAATGAACTCCTGAAACGTAAAATGAACTTTTTAAAATACTAAACCTTAAAGGAAAGTCATTTTTGTACGACAGAATACCAGTATAAAATTGCAAATCTATTAATGCTTACATATTTCTGCAAATGTCATCAAACATCGTGCACAACTAAGAGATAATATTGCTGTATTCAAGGTATCAAATTGTTTGCTTTCAGACATTACAAATTCATAAAATTATAATTGTTTACAGTCAGGCACGTGTGTGTGTGTGTGTGTGATTGTTTACAGGGATAAGTTTTTTGTGTTAGTTGACGTCCAGCGGGAAAAAAAAAATCAGCAGATGGAGAGAAGTTTCCCAAGTCTTACAGGCATAAATAGTCGTTATAATGAAATGGCAATGTATAAAAACATCCTTACAGTCTTCATGCAAATATGCTAAGCCTTTTGCAGAGCCAATTGCAATCTTCATCCTCTTCTCCCAATCTAAGACTTTCACTCCTCTGGCTGTCAGTAGATAAAAATAATCCAGAAATGAGAATCAAGCTATAGATAGAAGAAACATAAAAAAGTTCTACGGAGTAGACAAGAAAGAAAAAAGGGAACTCACATTACCATGCAAGTGATATTCAAGAGTTTTATTGGGAAGGAACTCATAGATAAGCACTCTTCGGTGATCAGCTATGCAATAGCCAACTAATGATACCAAATGCCGATGATGAACTCGGCTTATAATTTCAACCTCTGCCCTAAATTCCCGTTCACCCTGGCCGCTGCCAGCCTTAAGCTGCTTCACGGCAACTTCTTTTCCATCTGAAAGCCAACCCTTGTACACACGACCAAATCCCCCCTCCCCTATAATATTTTCACTAGAAAATCTCTGAGTTATCTCCGTGATCTGCTCATAACTAAAAGATATCTGACCATTATTCCAGGGCGAGTCTGGACTCGCAAAATGTTGCACAGCTTCTGCTTGATTCCCACTTTTACTGCTGGGAGAAGTTGGAGCTTGGGAAGTATAAAAACCCTCTTGTGCATAATTCGCTTTCCCAGGCTGCTGGGCATAGTAAAACCCTTCCCTACCTGATGACCAAAACCTTTAGATAATAAGTGCTGAAGAGCGAAGACCATTTCATCTCCAATCTCAAAAGGTGAAGTAAAAGCTTGTGAACAGTGAACAATTTCAAACACCTCTCTTCAAACAAAAAATTAATTGAAACTGAATGTAAACAAAACAAATTTTAACCCAAAATCTGTTAAACAAAAGATCATGAATAATGTTATTATAATCTTCAGGTGTCAAACGAAGCACAGGAGAGTAGTAGCTTGCCGCAAACCTAATACCTGGTTTCTTATATAAGTTTGGCAGCGTCATAATGTGTAGCATGGGCCACTTTTTGTTTTTTCTTCCTCTTTACCACGAAAACAATCAACACCGCGAGCAGGATAAAACCGAGAACTCCGGCCACAGCATAACCAATGTAATTGTCTGAATTACCACTGCTGCTGCTACTTGTTGACGACGAGAGAGACATGGATCCGCTCGAAGAACCGCTTGAGCTTGTGGTGGAAGGTGAGTGCCGCAGCGGAGGAGGGCTCCACGTCCTTGGCGGCGGAGCAGAGCTAGGTGTGTTTGGTGAGCCAGTGGCAACTGAAGGGGAAACAGTACTTGAAGGAGGTGGTGATGCGTTGCCGGTAGCTGATGAATTATTTGGGGGTCCCGGTGTCAGTGGTGCAGACGAGTTCTGCGATAAAGGCGGAGATGAAGGTGGAGTTGGATGTGCGGATGGAGGCGGAGAAGATTGATCAGGTGGAGGTGGGGATTGTGATGGTGGTGGAGGTGACGGTGACGGTGACGGTGACTTTGGGGGAGGAGACGACGGTGGTGGAGACCGTTGAGGAGGAGGAGGAGACGATGGCGGTGGTGACCGAGATGATGGCGGCGGTGACCGTTTAGGAGGAGGAGACGATGGTGGAGGTGGCGAAGATTGTGGTGGTGATGGAGGCGGTGACGATGGAGGGGGCGAAGAAGAGGGTGGCGGTCGTGATGGAGGCGGGCTTGATGAAGGCGGTGGAGAACTCGTCGGAGGAGGCGGAGAACCCGACGGAGGCGAGGTCGATGGAGAAATTTGTGGCGTAGAATCCGTACTATTGGACGAGGAGGGAGAATCAGGCGATGAAGCCGTATTCTCGGTGGACAATTTAAAAGAAAACGATATCCCACTTGATTTCGAGTCAGAATCGACGTTGGAGCTTCGTGAAGCCATTTCTGATTCTGAGATCAGAAATTTCCCAACGCGATTCCGAGAACGACCGGCCAATCTAAACCTACCTCGATTCGGCATTCATTCCAAAGAAAAGCAAACGGGTGTGAAAATAAAGATACCAAAAAACAAAAAAAAACAGAGAAGTGTATTCCAATAAAAACAGTTTCCGGAGAGCCAAACTTTGGTTTTCCAAATGAAAACAGAAAGAACAACAAAAACAGAGCAGAAAACTAACAAGGTGGCTGGAAAAGCAACTGGAATTGTGAAAACGAGAAGCCATCTGGGCAAAGTAATTGAAGCATAGGCCCCGAAAAATTCTCGCGTTTCTAATTATAAGAAGAAGATAGTAAGGCTGTTTGTTTTCATAATTTTGGCGCGTTTTTTAATTTGTTTCTTCTCTTCCAGTCGCTCTGTGAAGTGTGAAGCAAGCCAGGTGGTCGCTCTTGCTTGCTCTGTTTCACTCCTTAACTTTCGGGTTACCGCGCAAAGTGGACCGGGTCGAGCTCCCCCATTGCAAGTTTATAACCGCACAGGATCCGACCCGTCAGATCGCGCTCATAATCGGTGGGAATTAATAACCATGCTTGTGAACTGATTTTTTAAATTTTGAAAAAATTAATTTTTTAGTCCTTCAACTATTTACTCACTTATAACTCATTCCTTTAATTATGATTTAGAACGACTCAATCTCTTAATTTTTAACTTTCTTATGACTCAATTCCTTATCTTTGCCTTTTTTAATATTATGATCCTTGTCATCTCTAACTAATCATGAGTCATCCTATGTGACAAGAATGGGTAAGAAAATCACTTCCAACTCAGCACCATATAAGCAACAAAGAGGGAGGACCGGAGAAGACAGTGAAGAGGGAAAAATAAAAAGAAAACACACTATAAACCCAATACAGGAAACGAAGAAAAATCTGAATTGAGTTAAGCAAGACATATAATCACACCAAATTAAAGAAGAAGAAAAAAAGAACAAACATTCAAATTGCGAACGACCACACATATAGAAGACAGCCCACCTATCATACCTGTCCTCCTCTTGCATCTTCATGTTTTTCGAAATGACGAACCAAATGCCATCTCCTATTATCACGTGTTGTGACACTTTTAACCCATTCATCGTATTACAACTTTGATTTCCCAGATTTTTCTTAAAAACCCAAAAAAGAAGAAGATTGATTTTAAAAAAAAAATCTTCAAAAATGATATTAGACATGCCGGAGCTGATTGTCCTCTCATTTCATGGTAGCGGGTCTTGCTCTTACAAATGAAACCAAAGAAGAGTACTTTGCTGAAAAAAGTCTATAGCATTCGGCCACATATATAGGATGACTGTACTGGGCTCTACAATCTTTTAAAAAGTTTGCAGCATTTTTATGGTGGGTTCTCAGCAGTTCAGATCCTTCTTCATCACCTGTACAGGGTTCGTTGCGTCGTCGTCGTCTTCTTTTTCCCCGTCGCCTTTTTTTCCCTCTTCATCACCTTCTTCGCCGCTCATCCCATCTTCTTTGGTTACGTGGAGCTGAGTTGGAGGTGCCATTCTTGCCACAGAGGATGACTCGTAATTAGTTGGAGATGACAATGACCATAATATAAAAAAAAATACAAAAATTAAGGGACTGAATCATAAACCAGTTAAAAGTTTAGGAATTAAGTTGCACCGAATCATAGTTGAAAAACTGAGTTATAAGTGAGTAAATAGTTGAAAGACCAAAAGAATAATTTTTCCTTTTATTTTTAAGGACTGAAAAATATGTGTTGTTTAAATGGGAAATAGTGTTGACTATTATTTTACTTGTAAATTTCTTTTATGTAACTGATAAATGCTCGTAGTTTGACCGATATGTTTGTGTTACATAGATGATAAATTATTTGAGAGTAGCCTTCTTTTACAAATTAATTTATGAAGTTGGTCTTTTAGTATAATTATTTTTTTCTATTTTTTCCAAATGGGGATAAAATGAAATTTTTTGGGGACTAAATTGTATAGAATTATGAAATTTGTGGGTCAAAGCATAATTAAAAGAATTTAAGAGAAAATAATGGTACAAAATTTATATTTTTACAATTTATGGTCAAGTGCAAATACGAGCTTTATCTTCAGTCGAGAATTTGAGCTGTGCTGATATGTTTTTAATATTTTTAATATGGTTGATCTTGAAAAATAGGAGAAAAATGACTTTTCAAATTCCGGAGGGTTGCCCATTTTTATTTTATTTAATTTTTTAAAAGTCATCCTATCATCTAAATAGTATTTAGATAAAAACCAAATCATAATTTTAAAAATAATTTTTATGATATACGAACTAAATATATAAAAAAAATTTGTTCTGATTTCAAAAAAAAATACTTTTTAAAAGTATTTTTGGAATGTTCCAAATAGCCCTGTCACTGAGTGCTTAGATAGCCTTTTAGTTTAATAGAAACAAAATTTAAAATAAATCTTATTTGCATAAAATCAAATAAATAATATTATAAATGATAATAACAAAGTCTAAACTTATAAATATGTTCTCCACAGTACTGGCCAAATTCTACTTAACAATGGGAAACATAATATATATATATATATATATATATATATAATATTCAGAATACAAGTTTTTCCACTAAAAAATAATGAAACAATTAAAACCCTAACTTAAAGCTTGACTAATGCAAATCCAAGCTGATCATCAAATCTTCTAAACGACCATAATTGAACAACATCACCAACTTGAAAATTATTACACTTCGCAATATCGTACCAATGATGAGTCAGATTATACGTAAAACAGCCAGTCATTGACCATCTTTTCAAAACTAGGTCAAACTCTTCAAGTTTTGGATCCAAAACCAACACAGGAATGCCCTGAAGCTTCTTAGTTTCTGCATCTTTCGTCATTAACAACTCTGATTCTTGAGGTTTGAGAAAATCTTCAGCTTCCATCAAGATCTTGTTCTTTGGAAACGAAAAGCGATCATTGGTTTTACACAAATCACTCTTGTAAAGCTTCTTCTCTATTATCATTCTGATATTATAGCCTCCATTATCGTCGATCCTTTTCTTGAGCTTCCATGGCAGCATCAATGGCGAACGGGTGATCAAGTCCAGCAATTGTGGAGGTTTCGATCGATTCTTCTTGTTTACAGGAAGAAGTTTGAATTCAAATGGTGAGATACGATCATTTGATGATCCTTTAAATGAAGGAGAAGTGTTATTTTCATCAAGAATCTTTCTCTTTTTGTTGGTTCTCCAGCTTTGTTCTTCTTCTTCTTCTTCCACTTCCATCATCGTCTTTCTTGATATCTGATTCTCGGTGATAAGCTCTGTTTGAGACATATCGATCTCTTTAATTATCTCTCTCTCTCTCTCTATGATTCTCTTCTTCTCTATGCTTTTCACGTTATTTCTCAGTTCTCTTTTATCTCTCAGTGAGGGGTGTGAACTTCAAGTATGGGGCTTGTCCCATATATATGTATATGGAGTGAGGGAGATAGAGATGGGAGGAGAGAGAATTTAAGAATCCATTTTCAAACAAATCTTCGGAGGTGATTTGATTGGTTAAAGAAGATTTAGTAGAATTTTTAAAATTTTATCCATACGAATATTTGTTATTAAAAAGATTTATATGCGAAAATTTGATGGTAAAAATTTGAGTTAATGGATATAAGTAAATGGGCTTATATGAGTTTTATGCTTGATTCAATATTAAGAAGAAATTCACTATTTAATATATGCCATTGAGATTTTATTTTAATAACAATAAAAGTATTTAGATAATTTTATATTTAAGATAATTGCATATTATTTTAAAAGTAAATACATAGAAAAACATATTTTAAAACAAAATTAAGCGTTTATTTTTATGTGAGTATAAATTGAAAAGAAATTGAAAATGAGGGTCCTTAAAATATTTCAGGATTAAAATTAATTAATTAAAAATAAAAATTTAAAATAATTTATTAACAATATAAATAATAAACTTAATGCGATAATCAATATTCAATCTCATTTCATTTAAGTATGCGAAATATAGAACAAAATTAAGTGTCTTCCTATTGAAAATATGTTTTTAAATTGTGAAGATATACTATTTGAAAGAATTTTAACTAAGATATATATATTTCGCACATTTGAATAATAGAGCTTATTCTGGTAAAAAGAAAGAAAGAAAATGAAAATATATCATATTTAATATATGCATATGTATAAAACATCGTTTATATTAAAATTCTTTAAATTTCGTGCGAATAATGTTAAAAATAAAAAACCAAATATTTTTAAGAAGTTAATTCGAATTAAATTATTAAGTTTGCTTTATCTACATTTTCAATCAGATAGTTATTTCCATGAATTTGAGGCTAAATGAACATTAAAATCACAAAAAGCTATTTTTTCCCATAAATTTCCCAAGAATTAATCAAAACGATGCTTGAGAAAATTGAAAAATGTTTTTAAAATTTTATTAGATAATTGTAAATAATTTTGAATTATATTTATATTTAAACTAAATCATTTAAATATGAATAAAATCAAACTAAATAAAGGTCAATCGGGCATGCAAATTTTTTAAGGAAAAAAATTAAGTAAAGTTGTTTTTATCCATTATATCAAGTTCTCCCATCATATGTTGTCATGTGTCTTTTTTCCTTTCATACATGTGAATTTATAATTAAATGTCATAAAATACTTATATTTCAAAAATAAGACATGTAGTCATGTGTAATTGAAAAATTTGATATAATTGATATAAAAAACTTGATGTAAATATTAGAAAAAATTACAAATAAAGACCCCCAATATGTAAAATTGTGATTTGGGACTTTGAATTTGGAAAATAGCAAATAAGGACCCGATCCTATTTTTGCAAATATGAAATGTGGGTGAAATGTCTGAAATGCCCTTTAGCCAAATTGTAATTTGGTCTATTGAAATTGTCATTCACTAAAGTGAACTTGTCATTTCTCATAGTCAACTCGTCATTTGGCATACTCTCAGCCAACTTGTGATTTGGTCTACTAAAATTGTTATTCATTATAATGAACTTGTCATTTCTCATAGTCAACTTGTCATTTGGCTGAAGGGCATTTCAGACATTTCACCATGATTTCATATTTGCAAAAATAGGACCAGGTCCTTACTTTCTATTTTTCATATTGATAGCAATTTTACATATTCGAGAGTCTTTATTTGTAATTTTCTCTAAATATTATCCAATTTTCATTGTGATTATGCATTTTAATGATTATTTTATAAAATAATAAATTTCAGCCATTCAAAGTTTTATCTAATAAAATTAAGAAAACTGGTAATATGGGATGAAGTCTAACTAATCAAAAATAGCAGGTTAGGGTTGGCTTGCAAATGACACTTTTCAATTGCACCACCAAACTCACGACCCACGGCTAATTGGCTGGCTAACCTGCATTTATTTTTCATTTGTTTTCAATTTTTTAATTATTATAATTATAGTATTATATTTTATATCCTATCTAAAAAATTACAAAAATCTATATAATTTATTTGCTATTTTTGATTAAGTATTTAACGAAAAAACAAAAATTTCATTATTCTTTACTTATAGTGTATAAAAGAAAAAATTTAAAAAGTAGAATTTTTTTAAAAAATAATTAGAGAACAAACTCAATGCATATAACTCGCATATCTATTACTACTTCCGGTCTTAATTATAAGATCTCATTTATAAATTATAATAGAGGTTTTATAATTATAATTAGAAGTAGTATTTCAATTGCACTCTAAATCAAACTATTTGTCTATATGTACAGATTTTACAAAATATTGATATTTTCTGTATACAAAAATTTACTAAATCCTTCTCACAAATAAAATTTTTTGTAAAAAACTTTTCCTCAATTTTTCCTATTTTTTGGGCTAATAAATTTATCGTTAATAAAAACCATTATCATTCATATTAATGTCCTAAAAATGCTTTTTTTCCCCGGTATGCTATTCTTGACAGGATTAGATGAGCATAATTGAGAAACGGGGCAGCTCGACCTTCCAAAAAGAGCCATTTACAAAGCCTGGACCTTATATTATAGATGGACTTTGGCTGACCCACAGGCTTTTAGGCATTTTTACAAAATTTTATTTTATGGATAAAATTTTGGAGATAATTGATAATTCTTAAAAATTGTTAAATTTGCTTTGTGGTGAGATTTTTATCTGAAAATTTGAGTAATTCTTCTATTATATGGCTTGGATAATACTGACCACTTTTAAAGTTCATTCCAAAAAAACTCTATTTTTCTAACACCAAGTCCTTTTTTTTTTTTTGTCAACAGTATAATCCTATATTTTTTAATTATATTTTCAAATTGAGCTAATAGGGATCTATGGGATTCCTCATCTTTGGAGAAAAATACTAAACAATAGTATCATCATTAACATGATCTTCATCACTAAAAATAATAACGCATGTAATATAAATCAAATTATTATCTAAAGTTCAAAGTAGCCAATTTTTTAAAGTTCAAATGAATAAATCATGGTGCTAAACTAAATAAGTGAAACCGTTTTATGAAATTCAATTTAAAAAATAATAACAACTAAATATTTGCAACATTAGTATTCATATGAATAATTTAAAAAAATAAATTTAAAATGTGCCGACCTTATACAGGACCAATTCGTTTATAATTTAAAGGGGAAAATCTTAAGTCTCATCCTAAAAAAAATTTTGTGGTTACAAGTTACAAGAGCACATACTCATGGAGTTACTCATGCTCTGAAATACTTCCTACACCCAAGTCATAAAGAAAGTGAGAAAGAGAGAAAATGAGATAATACTACCTATTCTCAATATAAAAATAAGATAACTAATTTAAAAATATTTAAAAAAAATAGTAAAATTGTTTACTTGTAACAAATATATGTTAATTTTTTTAAATTATCTTATTTAATTATGTGATTAAAAAATTATAAATTTCAGAACCGAATTGAGGTGATATAACTCTTGAATTAAAATCTAGAGTTTGCAGGATTCTTGACATGACTCCTGAGTTCGGATTATCCCATCATGTCTTTCAATACCTTCAGTGTATCAATCCAATAAGTGTTCAAATGGATAATCCATCTACACAGTAAATAGTTTGTATGGGGTTTAAATTTAACCTTTTCACAATTTCATTTTGATAATAAAGATTCTCCACTCGTTACCGGCAAAATACTGTAAGAGCATCAACCTCAGTTTGATATTCAAAATTCTTGGAAAGACCAATTCCTTGAATCTGGTTATTCAAATAACGAAAACCTCTCTATTATTTTAATCTGCAAACCCCATCCCATTACTATAACCAGCAAAATATTTCGTGGGGTCCTCCAATATTGTCGGCGCATCAATATTCTCAACCTGACATGCGAAATCCCTAGGATGATTACTCTCTTGAGCATCTTCAATTTCACGATCCTCTTGTCCATAATGCAACATATTTTTCTGACCTATTTAAAATGATTTAGAAGTTCGATCATGATTTATGAAAAACGGTATAAATATGTAAAAAGCATTTTATCCTGTCTTGAATAAAACGTGTTTATAAATAATTTCTAGTACTAATCCAAACAAAACTTATGTCTAATTCCCACATATCCATAAAAATAATTAGAAGTATTAAATTTGTCATGAAGTTTAAGTGATGTTAATATTACTCATATAAATTATTCTAAATTTCAATATCATGTTAATTTCTACTTTTTTTTTTTTTACTATCCTTGTTAAATATTGATATATGTGAACAAATATTTAATGGCCGTTAACATTATCAAGACGTTTGATAAAATTATCAAAAGCTTCTTATATACAACAAGAGTACTTCTCAATCTAAAAGATTGTTGGGAAAGAGCAAGAAACTAACTGTTTGACATGAAAAACTGAAAATGAAAAATAAGGATTGTGATTGAGAGTGAAAAATTATATTAAAAGAGTGTTTAATATGAGTAATTGTTTGATATATACCTGGTATTAGACAAATCCATATATGTGGGATTGAAAAATACCATGAAGGAATGTTGTATTTTCCAATCCCATTTATATGAGATTGTCTAATCTCATGTGATAAGAAATTATCTATACTAAACATCTTTTCAATATATGTTTTCAATCCCAATCCCAATCTTCACTTCTCATTTTCAATACCTCGTACTAAACAGAACTTAAATACCAAGTTTGTCTGGGATATACATAAATAGAGAGAGGGTTATTCAGTTCATCAATAATATAAAAAGTCATCAATTCCGATTAGGATTGGTTTATTGGTTTAGTAGATTGATCTTTATGTCAAAAAATAAATAATGTAAAGAGTAATATTTGGTTTCTT